CAAGGACAATTCTCCCATTCAAGATGCTGCCCGGGCAGGTTCTCCCAGCCTCTTGGAAACGGGAGGGGGAACCTCCTGTCTTCCCCCAACTTCCCCCTCCAAAGGCCCCGCTCTCTTTCTTGCCATTTTCTGTGTCCTTTTCTCCAGGGATCTTTCTGGCCTCCCCCTGGACACCTGCAGGGGCGGGTCTTGACAAAGACCAACCTGGCTTAACCTGGTCCATTTCTTTTTCTGTTTTTTTTTTTGCTTTTTTGTTTGTTTGTTTTTGAGACAGGGTCTCGCTCTGTCCCTCAGGCTGGAGTGCAGTGGAATGATCATAGTTCACTATAACCTTGAACTCCTGGGCTCAAGGGATCCTCCCATCTCAGCCTTCTGAGTAACTGGGAATCCTCCAGGCACACGCTACCACGCCCAACTGATTTTTAAATTTTGTTGTAGAGATGGGCTGGGGGCGTGGGTCTCACAATGTTGTCCAGGCTGATCTCAAACTCCTGGCCTCAAGTGATCCTCCCCTCTCAGCTTCCCAAGGCGCTGGGATTACAGGCGTGAACCTCCGCGCCCAACCTGCCTTTTCCATTTCTGCACTTGAGTCGCCCCCTGTTGACGTGTTTGGGTCAGTGCTGGACCCCAAATCAGTTTGGGCCCTTCCGGTCCAGGGAGGCTTGTCCTCAATTTCCCACCTCTACAACCCTCTTCTGGAGTTCCTCAGGCTCTTGAGTCCTCTGTCCCCTCTTCCCTTGTTGACACATCACCCATGTTTCGTACCCCCGAGGAGGTGTGGGAGGGACTCGGGTTCATCCAGAGGATGTTGCCCAGGCCCACCCTCTTCCCCTGCCAACCAGACATCCAGGCTAGATCAGGTATCCGAGAGAGCTGGTAGCTGGAGAAAGGTTAATGGGCATTGCAGAGGCATAGCAGAGAGGCTGAGTGAAGACCCGGTGTGGGGAGCTGGGGTCAGGGCAGGGGGCTGCAGAAGCCCCCTGAGGTCCAGCCCAACAACTCCAGGCTGCCCTGAGCCAGCCTGCCACATCCAGCTCCCCAGCGCGAATGCTCTCCCAGCTAGGGAAAGGGGGAGTCTCGCTGGGCAGGACCCTTCCTTCCCACGGTCCTTTCCTTACCCATGTTGGGTCTTCCTTCCACGCAGGTGGCCTCAGGGCATGTCATCCCAGAGGATGAGCGCAGAGTATAATACATTTCTAGAACTCAATCCTCCCTGGTTGGTTGGTGGTTTCTTTAGAGACAGGGTCCTGTTCTGTTGCCCAGGCTGGAGTGCAGTGGTGCAATCATAGCTCACTACAGCTTGGAACTCCTGGGCTCAGACAGTCCTCCCGCCTCAGTCACCCAATAATTTCTTACATTTTTGTAGAGACAGGGACTCTGTCCCTGTGTTGCTCAAGCTGGTCTCCAACTCCTGACCTCAAGCAACTCTCCCTCCTCAGCCTCCCAAAGCACTGGGAATACAGGTGTGAGCCACCACACCCAGCCTATCCTCTCTGTTTTGACATCCCCAAACCCAAATCCCCTTTGGGGTCCTATGTCCTGATCCTCCACCAGCCCAATTGTCAGTGTGTTTTTTGTTTTTTGTTTTTTTTGAGATGGAGTCTTGCTCTGTTGCCCAGGCTGGAGTGCAGTGGTGCGATCTCGGCTCACTGCAAGTTCTGCCTCCCGGGTTCACGCCATTCTCCTGCCTCAGCCTCCTGAGTAGCTGGGATTACAGGCGCCCGCCACCTCGCCCGGCTAATTTTTTTTTGTATTTTTAGTAGAGATGTGGCTTCACTGTGTTGGCCAGGATGGTCTTGATCTCCTGACCTCGTGATCTGCCCGCCTCGGCCTCCCAAAGTGCTGGGATTACAGGCGTGAGCCACTGTTCCTGGCCCTTTTTTTTTTAAAAAAAAAAAAAAAAAAAAGTCTCACTCTTTTGCCCAGGCTGGAGTGCCGTGGTGCAATCTCAGCTCACTGCAACATGTTAGCCAAGCTGGTCTCCAACTATTGACTTCGAAAGATCTGCCCGCCTTAGCCTCCCAAAGTGCTGGGATTACAGGTGTGAGCCACCGCACCCAGCAAGCCTTCCTTTTCTTCTTAGAGCCCAAGCAAAACGTCCCAGTCCCCACTCCCAAGCAAGGACCTGCCTGATGGGAGGCAGGAGTCGCAAGGAAGGGGGCGGGACGTTTGCACCTTGGCCTCAGGCTGGGGCGAGTGGGTCACTCCTACTAGGATAGAGGTCAGAATTCTTCAGCAACGCAGACCCCAGACCCCGCCCTCAGTAACCCCCAGCCCCTTTTGGGAAATGGAGGAATGCCGAGGGTGGGGGCCTCCCCCGGAGAGTCACAGGCTGATTTGCTTTTTTGGAAAAACCCACTTTTTTTAGCCAGGGCGTGGTGACGTGCGCCTGTAGTCCTGGCTACTTGAGAGGCTGAGGCTTGAGCCCAAGAGTTCAAGCTCCCATCTGAGCCTCCCGAGTAGCCGAGAATCCTCCAGGCGCACGCCACCATGTCCAGCTGATTTTTTATTCTTTGTAGAGACAGCGGGGGGGCCTCATAATGTTGCCCAGGTTGATCTCAAACTCCTGGCCTCAAGCAGTCCTCCCCTCTCAGCCTCCCAAGGTGCTGGGATTACAGGCGTGAGCCACCGCACCCGACTTGCTTTTTCCATTTCCACACCTCCGTCACCCCCTATTGTCGTGTTTGTGTCAGTGCTGGACCCCAAATCACAGCTTGGGTCCTTTCCAGCCCAGGGAGTCTTGTCCTCAATTTCTCACCTCTACTGCCCTCTTCTGGAGTCTCTCGGGCTCTTGAGTCCTCTGTCCCATCTTCCCTTGGTGACACATCACCCATGTTTTGTACCCCCAGGAGGTTTGGGAGGGACTTGGGGGGTGAACTATGATTGCACCACTGCACTCTAGCCTGGGTAACAGGAAGCCCTTGTCTCTAAAAAAGGGAGGGAGGGAGGGAGGGAGGGGAGAGAGAAAGAAAGAAAAAAAGAGAGAGGGAGGGAGGGAGGGGAGAGAGAAAGAAAGAAAAAGAGAGAGAGGGAGGGAGGGAGGGGAGAGAGAAAGAAAAAAAAAGAGGGAGGGAGGGAGGGAAGAAGGAAGGGAGGCAGGGAGGGAGGGAGGGAAGGAGGGAAGAAGGAAGGAAAGAAGGAAGGAAGGAAAGAAGGAAGGAAATGAGTGAGGAAGAGAGGAAGAAAAGGAATAGAAGGAGGGAGGGAAGGAGGGAGGAAGCAAGGAAAGAAGGAAGGGAGGCAAGGAGGGAGGGAGGGAGGGAAGGCAGGCAGGCCACATTTGGCTGGGCGAGGTGGCTCACGTGTATTCCTAGTACTTTGGGAGGTGGAGGCAGGCTGAGCTCTTTGAGCCCAGGAGTTCAAGACCAGCCTGGGCAACATAGTGAGACCGTCTCTCTTCCAAAAAACATCAAAATTAGCCAGGCGTAGTGGTGCCTACCTGTAGTACCAGCTACTCAGGAGGCTGAGATGGGAGGATCATTTGAGCCCCGGGGGTCAAGGCTGCAGTGAGCTATGACTGCACCACTGCACTCTAGCCTGGGCAACAGAGTGAGACCTTGTCTCCAAAAGAAAAAAGAAAAAGCCACATTCCCTAACCTTAGTCTGTATTTGACATGTAAAATTTCTCAGAATCACCTTGGTGGGGAGCCAGAGGCCATATCCTCTAAGCACTCGGATTCCTGGGGTGAAGTCTTCTCCTAAATCAGAAGCCAAGGGTCTGAGGCTGCATCCCACCCTCCTATTCCCCTGCCTGCCCTGTTCCTTCTGCCCTCCCTGCTCCTTCTGTCTCCCCCAGTGATGTCAGCCTTGCCAGGACCGAATGGGCCACCCCCATGTGGTTTTCTCTCAGGGACAACACCCTCACCTCAAACCTAGGTTCCTCTCCCCTCTAGACATTTTGCACAGAACCCAGCCCTACCTAGTCCTCCATGTGCCTCTCTCCCTCATTTTCCTCCCTCTAAGACCCAACTTCCTCCACCATAATCATGTGGACATTCACGTCTCACAAATACATAATTTTGGGCCAGGCACGGTGGCTCACGCCTGTAATCCCAGCACTTTGGGAGCCCGAGTTGGGTGGATCACTCGAGGTCAGGAGTTCGAGACCAGCTTGGCCACCACGGCAAAACCTCATCTCTACTAAAAATACAAAAATTAGCCAGGCAAGGTGGTGCATACTTGTAATCCCATCTACTTAGGAGGCTGAGGCAGGAGAATTGCTTGAACCCAGGAGGCGGAGGTTGCAGTGAACAGAGATCACACCACTGTACTCCAGCCTGGGAGACAGAGCGAGACTCTGTCTCAACAAAAAACCAAAACAAAAATAAATAATTTTGGCCAGGTGCCGTGACTCATGCCTGTAACCGCAGTGCCCTGGAAGGCCAAGGCGGGAGGATTGCTGGAGGCCAGGAGTTTGAGACCAGCCTGGGCAACGTAGTGAGACCCTCACCCCTATCTCTACAAAAACAACAATGTTAAAAATTTTTTTTTTTTTTTGAGACGGAGTCTCGCTCTGTCTCCCAGGCTGGAGTGCAGTGGCCGGATCTCAGTTCACTGCAAGCTCCGCCTCCTGGGTTTACGCCATTCTCCTGCGTCAGCCTCCCGAGTAGCTGGGACTACAGGCGCCCGCCACCACGCCCGGCTAGTTTTTTTTTTTTTTATTTTTTAGTAGAGACGGGGTTTCACCGTGTTAGCCAGGATGGTAGCGATCTCCTGACCTTGTGATCTGCCCGTCTCAGCCTCCCAAAGTGCTGGGATTACAGGCGTGAGCCACCGTGCCCGGCCAACAATGTTAAAATTTAACCTTCATGGTGACGCATGCCTGCAGTCCCAGCTACCCAGGAGGCTGAGGCAGGAGGCCCAGGAGGTTGAGGCTGCAGTGAGCTCTGATCGTGCCACTGCACTCCAGCCTGGATGATAGAGCAAAACCCTGTCTCAAATAAATAAATACGTATATTTATTTAATCTTCTTGTTTGAAGACAACTCAAAACTGAGCAGCTTAACTGGCACAGTCCAGAACAATATCTGAGGAGAAAGCAAGAAAACCATGTATGAGAGGAGACTCAACTCTAGGCCCTGAGGTTCCGGGCTGTGGGGTCGGTTCTCACCTGTGTCCACCAGCCTGGCCAGTCTGTCTCGCTCCTGGCTCTGCATTTTCTCTCTAGAAGGCATGGGGTAATAGACATGGGTCCCCGAGTGGCCCTTTATGGGCCCAGCCACTTCCCTGTTTGCACTCCCCCATTTGCACACCCCACCTGCCCTTCCTCTTCCCAGGACTCACCTCTTCCTCCTCATTCTATAAATGCACTCTCTGGTCATGGCCAGTACTACGACCACCACAGGCACCAGCAGTCCCAGTAGGATGGCCACCGGGTTAGATGCTTCCAGGTGCGGGGAAGAGACATTAGGTCGAACGTGAGACGGGAAGGGTGGGGACTGATGGGCACTCCCTTTTGGGGACTGTGTGCTACCCCAGGGGACCTCATCTCTCTAAATCTCTAGGTGTGTCTGCTTCTCCCTACAGGAGGTTCTCACCTCCAGGGACTCCAAGGTCTTAGCGCCCCTACACCCACAATGTTTTCTGTTTCCCATAAGCCTTTTTAGACAGGGTCTGGCTCTTGCCCAGGCTGGAGTGCAGTAGCCGGATCATAGCTTTCTGCAGCCTTGAACTCCCGGGCTCAGGCGATCCTCCCGCCTCAGCCTCCTTTCCAAGTAGCTAGGACTACAGGCACATGCCACCACACCCAGTTAATTTCCGTGATTTTTTGTAGAGATGGGGTCTTGCTATGTTACCAGGCTGGTCTTGAACTCCTGGGCTCAAGTGATCCTCCTGCCTCAGCCTCCCAGAGTCCTGGAATTACAGGCATGAACCACCATGCCTGCCCTCCCTTAAGCCTATTTAGAGGGGGTAGCTGTTCCTCGTAGGTGCCCTAGAGTCCAGGTGTCATCTCAGCCAGCATTTCTCAAAGAGTAGCCCTGGAGTCACTTCCATAGTTTCCTGGGCCCTTGTTGAAAATGCAGATTCTGACTGGGCGCGGTGGCTCATGCCTGTAATCCCAGCACTTTGGGAGGCTGAGGTGGGAGGATCACCTGAGGTCAGGAGTTTGAGACCAGCCTGGCCAAGATGGCGAAACCCTGTCTCTACTAAAAATACAAAATTAGCCAGGCATGATGGCCGGTGCCTGTAATCCCAGCTACTTAGGAGGCTGAGACAGGAGAATTACTTGAAGCTGGGAGGTGGAGGTTGCAATGAGCAGAGATCATGCCACTGCACTCCAACCTGGGCAACAAAGCAAGACTCTGTCTCAAAAAAAAAAAAAAAAAAAAAGATTCCTGGGCCAACTCCAGACCTACCGGATCTGATCTTTCGGGGTGTGTTCTGGAATACACATGTTCACAAGTTACCCCCTCTTCAATCTTAGACAAGATAAAGCTGGAGAACCGCTGGTCCAGAGGCTCATGGGAATTGTAGTTTGGGATAGGGAAGGACAGTGGAAGGTGCTGGAGAGGCACCGATGGACACAGGAGGAGGAAGCAGCATGGGTGAGAGATACAGGTCACAGGAATGGGGAGCTGGGCTTCAGAGAGAAGATTCCACAGTATATAGGTAGGAGGTGGCCACAGGAACTGGTTTTTTGTTTTGTTTTTGGTTTTGGTTTTTGGGTTTTTTTTGAGATGGAGTCTTGCTTTGTCATTCAGGCTGGAGCGCAGTAGCGCGATCTAAGCTCATGGCAACCTCTGCCTCCCGGGTTCAAGCGAGTCTCGTGCCTCAGCCTCCGAGTAGCTGGGATTACAGCTGTGCACCACCATACCCACCTAATTTTTTTTTTTTTTTTGAGACAGATTCTTGCTCTGTCACCCAGGCTAAAGTGCAGTGGCTTGATCTTGGCTCACTGCAACCTCCACCTCCCGGGTTCAAGTGATTCTCCTGCCTTAGCCTCCTGAGTAGCTGGGACTACAGGCACACACAACCACGCCTGGCTAACTTTTTGAATTTTTAGTAGAGACTAAAAATTTGAATTTTCACCGTGTTAGCCAGAATGGTCTCGATCTCCTGACCTCGTGATCCGCCTACCTCAGCCTCCCAAAGTGCTGGATTACAGGCGTGAACCACCGCACCCGGCCAGGACTGGTTTTTTGAGGATGCTTGTCCTGCTAATTTCTAGGGATTATATTATAATTCCTACTATAATAATATATGCAATATATAAACATATAATCAACATACAACATATATTAATATATTAATATCAATTATATATACAAATCGATATTGTTTATAATAATATATATCTATAACATATTATAATGCATATCATTCTATATGTGAATACAATACATATAGAATCATTATGTGGTTGTCGGCCCGGAAGAGGCTGTGAGGGTACAGGGCCTTGGATGATGCCCTCACCTGGCTTTCTGGGAGGTGGCACATCTCGTGGCTCCGTACAGAGGTCTCCCCCATAACCAACTTCACACTCGCAGGTGAAGATGGCTCCCTGCTCCTGACACTGCCCATCATTCTGACAGGGGTTCTGCAGACACGGGCTTTCTGCAAGGACAGAGAGGGTTGTGGGAGGGGGACCGTGGGAGGTCAGTCCCAGCTCAGGGGAGGCCTGGCTAGAGGCTGGGACGCCAGGGGAGAAAGTAGCGGCTGCCAGAGACTGGCCAGGGGTCAGCCAGCCTGGCTCCCAACCCTGCCTTACTAGCCCTGGGCTTTGGGGAAACTTCCTTCCTTCGAAACTCTCTTTTTTTTTTTTTTTTTTGAGACGGAGTCTTGCACTGTCGCCCAGGCTGGAGTGCAGTGGTGCGATCTCAGCTCACTGCAAGCTCCACCTCCCGGGTTCACACAATTCTCCTGCCTCAGCCTCCCAAGTAGCTGGGACTACAGGCGCCCACCACCACACCTGGCTAATTTTTATATTTTTTAAGTAGAGATGGGGTTTCACCATGTTAGCCAGGATGGTCGCAATCTCCTGACCTTGTGATCCGCCTGCCTCGGCCTCCCAAAGTGCTAGGATTACAAGCGTGAGCCACCGCCCACCGGCCCTTCGAAACTCTTTCATCTCTTCTTTCCTCTCTTCCTCCCTCCCTCCCTCTGTCTCTTCTCCCTCCTCTACCCTCCTTTCCCTCCCTTCCTTCCCTTCTCTCCCCTTCCCTCCCCTTCTCCCTTCTCTTCTCTTTTTTTTTGAGACAGGATCTCACTCTGTCACCCAGGCTGGAGTGCAGTGGCACAATTATAGCTCACTGTAGCCTCAATTTCTTGGGCTCAAGTGATCTTCCCACCTCAGCTTTCCAAGTAGCTGAGACTACAAGAGTGCACCACCACACCCAGCTCTTTTTTTCTTTAATGTTTAGTAGAGACGATGTCTCCCCATATTGCCCAGGCTGATCTTGAACTCCTGAGCTCAAAGCAATTCTCCCACTTCACCTCGGAAAATGTTGGGATTACAGGCAGGAAACTGCTTAACCTCTCTGAACTCCATGTTTGTTATGTATAAATTAGAAGTGCTGTGCTAACCACCAGGGCTGAAGGAGACAATGGGAAGGAATGCTAGGGAAGGATTGGGCAGGTCGTGGATGCTTAGGGAAGGGGAGATCTTTGTCCTTTGTCTCTCCCTACAAAGGCAGGGACAGACGTCCTGAAATCAATGTGGAAGAGTCCCCAGGACAACAAGGGGATGATTCTTGGTCCACGGATGCCCCAGGGCATGGGGCAGCTTGGAACCGGGCAGGGGTGCAGGTTCACCTGGAAAGCAGCCTCGGGTGTGGTTCCCCAGGGTGCAGACCTCCCCCTCTCTGCAGCTGAATGGCTCGCACAGCAGGATCTGTGAGCTGGCACAGGTGCAGCGCTGAGAGCAGTCCTCAGTCACAAAGCTGCTGCCCAGCTAGAAAGGGGAGGGGTCAGGAGGAGACATTCTGGTTCCATCCCTGGTCTGGCTCTCCTTGGCACCTCTGTTCCCCGGGGCCTCCCGCTGCCAGCCCGGACCTGGTAGTAGATGCCATTGCTGGTGCAGCCACAGTCAGCCAGCGGGAGGCTCTGGGTGCCACTGTAGGCATAGCCTGGGATGCTGGCACAGCCTTCCACACAGGGGCCTTCGCAGTCCCCGGGGTCCGCCAGGTTGGCACAGGATGCTGGACAGGGTGTCATACAGCTCTGATACATGGTACCTGCTGGACACTCCATGGCTGCGGGGACAATCATGGTCAGAAGTTGGCTGGGGCTGGGCAGGCCAAACAGGGGCAAGGTCACCCAATAAAACTCAGAGTAGGCTGGACGCAGCGGCTCACACCTGTAATCTCAACACTTTGGGAGGATGAGGCAGGTGGATCACGTGAGGTCAGGAGTTCAAGACCAGCCTGGCCAACATGGTGAAATCCCATCTCTGCTAAAAATACAAAAATGAGCTGGGCATGGTGGTGGGCACCTGAAATCCCAGCTACTCGGGAGGCTGAGACAGGAGAATCACTTGAACCCGGGAGGCAGAGGTTGCAGTGAGCCAAGATCGCGCCATTGCACTCCAGCCTGGGCGACAAAGAGCAAAACTCCATCTCAAACAACCACCACAACAACAAAAACACTCAGAGTTGCTTATAGGCAGGAAGCCAGAACGCATCGCAGCTTCATCTAGGGTCTTTTTTTCTTTTCTTTTTGAGATGGAGTCTCACTCTGTTGCCCAGGCTGGAGTGCCCAGGCTGGCGTTATCACAGCTCACTGCAGCCTCCAACTCCTGGGTTCCCATGATCCGCCCACCTCAGCCTCCCTGGTGACTGGAGCTATAGTCATGCACCACCACACCTGGCTAATTTGTTTAAACTTTTTATAGAGATGGGGTCTCACTGTGTTGCCCAAACTGGTCTCAAACTCTTGGCTTCAATTGATCCTCCCGCCTCAGCCTCCCAAAGTGGTGAAGCTACAGGTGTGAGCTACCACGCCCAGCCCGTCCAGTCTTTTCTTTTTCTTTCTTTTTTCTTTTTCTTTCTTTCTTTTCTTTTCTTTTTTTTAAAATAGGCTGTTGCTCTGTTGCCCAAGCTGGGGTGCAGTGGTGCAGTCATGGTTCACTGCAGCCTGGGACTCCTGGGCTCAAGCCATCCTCCAGCCTCAGCCTCCCAAAGCACTGGGATTACAGGTGTGAGCCACCACGCCCAGCCCATTCAGGGTCTTTTTGTCTGCAACATTAGAGCGTTTGAAGGAACTGGTTGAGCAGAGGTGGACCTTGGCAGGAAGGAGTGGGATGTGGGATGGGGTTGGGAGGCTCCCAGGTAGGGGCAGAGAAGGAGGCAAGCTGCTGGTTGTGCTGACTTGGACCTGGGACTGAGACAGAAATTCGAGGGATGCTGAGATTAAGACAGAAAGTCCGAGATGAGGCAGTGGTGGGAAAAGTGTTCAGCAGAGGTGGATGGCAGAGGGGTCAGGGTCGGCACGGGGAGGGGCAGTGCCTCACCGCAGAGGGTGCGGTCCCGCCAGCCAGCCAGGACAGCGCCCGCCTCCTGGCAGAGGATGGCGTACCCACTGAGGACCTGGCAGCGCAGCTCCTCTTGCTCTCTTGGGTCCTGAGTGGAGCACAGATCCAGCACGCAGTGCCTGGGGCGGAGAGGGGGCAGGAAGGATGCAGTCAGAGTTTGGGGAGGGGAGGAGACCCAACCCTGCAGAAGAGAGCCTGGAACCCCAAATAGAAAGACATCAGTCGGTGTCCAGGGAGGGTCACAAGGAAATGAGGCCACAGGGAGAACGGAGGAGTGAACCACACAGAGCTTGGGTCAGGAAGTGGGCACGAGGCCTCAGGGAAAGACCTGAGCAGGCACCTGGGCCATTCCCGCAAGTCCTGGGCCCATGACTCACTCCTGGAAGGGCTCTGCGGCCACTGTCTGGTGACAGGCAGCAAATGGGCCCTGGGGGTCTGCCAGCACCCTACAGGCCTGGGTGCTGTTGCTCGCCAACTGCTCCGGGCTACATTCGGACACGCGGAGGCCCAGTTCCACCCCTCGTCTTTCCTCCACTGGTATAGCCCTGCGGCAGAGACAGCCACGGGGTCAGGTGAGGCCCCGAGGAAGGTGAAGCGGGGAAAGAAGAAGAACAACTGATTAGCCGGGTGTAGTGGTGCCTGCCTGGAGTCCCAGCTACTCGGGAGATGAGGCAGGAGGATACTTGAGCCCAGGAGGTGGAGGCTGCAGTGAGCCAAGATCACGCCCCTGCACTCCAACCTGGGTAACAGAGCAAGACCCCATCTCTAAAAAATATATTTTAAAAAAAGAAATAAGAAATGGGGCTGGGTGTGGTGGCTCACACCTGTAATCCCAGCACTTTGGGAGGCCAAAGTGGGCGGATCCCTTGAGGTCAGGAGTTCAAGACCAGTATGGTCAACATGGTGAAACCCCATCTCTACTAAAAATACGAACATTAGCCGAGAGTGGTGGTGTATGCCTGTAGTCCCAGCTACTCGGGAGACTAAGGCACAAGAATCGCTTGAAATTGGGAGGCAGAGGTTGCAGTGAGCTGAGATCACGCCACTGCACTCCAGCCTGGGTGACAGAGGAAGAAGAAGAAGGAAAAGGAGGAGGAGGAGGAAGAGAAAAAGAAGGAGGAGGAAGAGGAGGAGGAGGAGGAGAAAGAAGGAAGAAGGAAAAAAAGAAGGAAGAAGAAGAACTGGGAAGGCAGGCTGAGCGCAGAGCGGGGACACAGAGCGGGATTTCCATTGAGCGGGTACCCCCAGAGTCAGGTGAGAGGGAATGACAGAATTGGGAGGATCCAGGCCTCTCTGCACCCTCTCCTTGGAGTTTCATCCTCTGCTGAGGAAGGAGGGCTAGTGGCCACCGTGCACAGACACTGTTGTTCACCTCCCCAGCTTCATCCCTTCCAGGCCACGCACCTGGGGAAGCGGAGGAGGACGCCCTCGGTCTTCACCTCCCAGCTGTCACCAAAGGTGTTGAGGTTCCGGGTCAGGGCGCCACTGGGCAGCATCATGTCATTCTTGCGGTTATTGTCGTAGTTTCCACACAGGCCACGCACGAGCCCCTCGTACATGCTGGGTAGGGAGATCACTGTGGGAGGAAGGGGGCCCCCAGAAGTGAGACTCCTCACTCTTTTTTTTTTTTTTTTCTGAGATAGAGTCTTGCTCTGTTGCCCAGGCTGGAAGTGCAGTGGCGTGATCTTGGCTCACTGCAACCTCCGCCTCCCAGTTTCAAGCAATTCTCGTGGCTCAGCCTCCCAAGTAGCTAGGACTACAGGCACACACCATCATGCCTGGCTAATTTTTATATTTTTAGTAGAGATGGTGTTTCACCATGTTGGCCAAGCTGGTCTAGAACTCCTGACCTCGTGATCTGCCCGCCTCGGCCTCCCAGAGTACTGGGATTACAGGCATGAGCACTGCAACCAGCCCTTACTCTTTTTATTTAATTAACTTTTTTTTTTTTTTTGAGACAGAGTCTCGCTCTGTCGCCCAGGCTGGAGTGTGGTGGCACGATCTCCGCTCACTGCAAGCTCTGCTTCCCAGGTTCACTCCATTCTCCTGCCTCAGCTTCCCGAGTAGCTGGGACTACAGGCACCCGCCAACATGCCTGGCTAATTTTTTGTATTTTTAGTAGAGACGGGGTCTCACCATGTTAACCAGGATAGTCTCGATCTCCTGACCTCATGATCCGCCTGCCTCAGCCTCCCAAAGTGCTGGAATTATAGGCGTAAGCCACCGTGCCCGGCCTTAAATAACTTTTTTTTTTTTTTAATACTTTAAGTTCTAGGGTACATGTGCATAACGTGCAGGTTTGTTACATATGTATACTTGTGCCATGTTGGTGTGCTGCACTCATCAACTCGTCAGCACCCATCAACTCGTCATTTACATCAGGTATAACTCCCAATGCCATCCCTCCCCACTAACTTTTTTTTAAAGCAGGGTCTTGCTCTGTTGCCCAGGCTGGAGTACAGTGGCTCAATCATGGCTCACTGCAGCCTCCAACTCCTGGGCTCAAGTGATCCTCTCTCCTCAGCCTTTCCAGTAGCTGGGACTACAGGTGTGCACAACCACATCCAGCTAATTTTTTATTTTTATTTTTTGTAGAGATGGGGTCTTGCTATGTTTGCCCAGGCTGGTCTCGAATGCCTGGCCTCAAGTGATCCTCCCGTCTCAGCGTCTCCAGTTCCAGAATCTGGGATTACAGGCATGCACCAACATACCTGTCTCATTTAAATTTTTTTTTTATTTTCTTTTTTTTGAGACAGAGTTTTGCGCTTGTCACTAGGCTGGAGTGCAGTGGCACCATCTCAGCTCACTGCAACCTTCGCCTCCCACGTTCAAGTGATTCTCCTGCCTCAGCCTCCCAAGTAACTGGGATTACAGGCCCCCACCACCACACCCAGCTAATTTTTGTATTTTTAGTAGAGATGCGGTTTCACCATGTTGGCTAGGCTGGTCTTGAACTCCTGACCTTAGGTGATCCGCCTGCCTCAGCCTCCCAAAGTGCTGGGATTACAGGCGTGAGCCACCGCGCATGGCCTTTAAACGTTTTTTTTTTTGTAGAGACGGGGGTCTCACTATGTTCCCCAGGCTGGTCTTGAGCTTCTGACCTCAAGCGATCCTCCTGTCTTAGCTTCCCAGAGCTCTGGGATTACAGGCCGGTGCCACAGCGCCCGGCCAAGACTCTGCCCCCTGCTTTCCACCTGTTCTCACCCCACCTCCTCCTGGTCCTCCTGTGGAGCTGGGTGTCCCACTACCGGGCTGAGTCCGCTCACCAGGATTTGCCTATCTTAGATAGGATTTTCCCTCCAACTTCTCAGAAACGGCCCTTCTGCTCTTCTTTCCCCTCTCTCCGGTACCTGCATTTTTCCTTCCCCCGAAACTGATGACCAGCTCAAAGTCGGTGACCAGGTAGAGCCGTTGGCCCCGCAGGGTGACCCGCAGGTGCTCATTCGGCCTGTAGGGGACGGCCATCTTCTGGTTGTTGACCTAAAGAGGGAAGACAGGAGCAACAGGGAGCGCTGAATCCACCTGACCTGCTGCCATTTCCTGGCTGGGCTTTGCTTTTCCGGGTCATCTCCATACGTCTCCGTGCAGACAGTGGAATAAGATACCCCAGTGGACTTTGCTATTCATGTGGCGGAAGTTTCTGTGAGGTCCGCCCCCTTCCCAGCCCAAGTCCTTCCTTGCAAAAAATTGGTGCAGTGAGGCTGGGCGTGGTGGCTCACACCTGTAATCCCGGCACTTCGGGAGGCCAAGGTGGGCAGATCACTTGAGGTCAGGACTTCCAGGCCAGCCTGGCCAACATGGAGAAACTGCATCTCTACTAAAAATACAAAAATTAACCGGACATGGTGACGCACACCTGTAATCCCAGCATTTTGAGAGGCTGAGGCAGGCGGATCACTTGAGGTCAGGAGTTCCAGACCAGCTTGGCCAACATGGGGAAACCGTGTCTCTACTAAAAATACAAAAACCCATCTTGCCGGGTGTGGTGGTACATGCCTATAGTCCCAGGTACTAGGGAGGTTGAGGCAGGAAAATCACTTGAACCTTGGAGGTGAGGTTGCAGTGAGCTGAGATGGTGCCACTGCACTCCAGCCTGGGTGACAGAGCAAGACTCTGTCTCAAAAAATAAAAATACATTGGTGTAGTGGATGCCATTGGTTCTTCAGCCCAGGATTGACCTTCACACCTCGTGTTCTGTCCTCTTCCTCCTCTCTTCCTCTTGTGTCTTGCCAGCCTCCGCTGCCTCCCCACATGACAAGAGCTTGTTGCTGAATGTGTTTTTGGTTTTGAGACAGTTTCTCTCTGTCACCCAGGCTAAAGTGCAGTGGCAAGATCTTGGCTCACTGCAGCCTCAAACTCCTGGGCTCAAGAGATCCTCCAGCCTCAGCCTGTCCAATAGCTGGAACTACAGGTGTGCGCCCCCATACCCAGCTCATTTTAAATTTTTTGCAGAGATGTGGGGTCTTGCTATGTTGCCCAGGCTGGTCTTGAACTCCTGGGCTCAAGTGATCCTCCTGTCTTAGCCTCCTGAGTAGCTGAGATTACAGGCGTGAACTACTGCATCCTGCTGACTCTGATTTTACAACCAGCCCAACCGTCACAAACGTCCCAGGGAACAGGGATCTCTGACTTCTACTCCAGGTGGTTTACCTGGTCCACCTGCCTCCCCACACCCACCAGGCCCTGGCCCAGCTCTTACCACAAGCTCCAGACCAGCTTGGAGCTGCACTTTATAGCCATAGACAGTGGTAATCACTTCTTGCAAGAAGGTGGAGCTCCTGGGCGGATCCATCTTGTTGCGTCCCTCCACAAGGAGGGGCTCCACCCCCTCAGGCAGTACATCCACAGTCTTGATCAGAACGTAGGTCATGCGGCCCCGGAAGCGGTAGCTGAAGCCATCAAATGTGAGATAATGGGGGTCCCCGTAGACTGAGCATTGTTCAGACTCTGCGAAGAAGTCAAACAGTGAGAAGGGGCCGGGCGCAGTGACTCATGCCTGTAATCCCAGAACTTTGGGAGGCCAAGGCGGGTGGATGACCTGAGGTCAGGAGTTTGAGACCCGCCTGGCCAACATGGCAAAACCCTGTCTCTACTGAAAATACGAAAATTAGCCGGGTATGGTGGGTGCGTGCCTGTAATCCCAGCTACTTGGTAGTTCTCTACTGGGCAAGATAATTGCTTGAACCTGGGAGGCGGAGGTTGCAGTGAGCGCCGAGATCACGCCACTGCACTCCAGTCTGGGTGACAGAGTGAGACACCATCTCAAAAAAAGAACAAAAAGCAAAACAAAAGACTGAGAAGCGACCCTGCCCAGGTGTAACGATCCCCAGAGTCCCTCCCCTACGGTGACATCCCCTGTGGCCACCCTCTTAGGCTCAGGCTCCCTGGATCCTTTCTTTTCTCTTTTTTTCTTCTTTTTCTTTTTTTTTTTGAGACAGGATCTTATTCTGTCACCCAGACTGGAGTGCAAGTGGTACAATCATAGCTCACTGCAGCCTCCAACTCCTGGTCTCAAGCCATCCTCTTGCCTTAGCCTCCAGAGTATCTGGGACTTCAGGTGTGTACCACTACCCTCAGCTAATTTTTTTCTTTTTTTATAAATGGGGGCCACACTACATTGCCCAGGCTGGTCTCGAACTCCTGGCCTCAAGAAATCCTCCCACCTTAGCCTCCCAAAGTCCAAAGTGCTGAGATTACAGGCATAAGCCACCAGGCCTGGTACCTGGATTTTTTTTTTCCCCAATACCTGCTGACATTCAATTAAAGGCCTTTTTATTATTATTATTATTTTATTTTTTTGAGACAAGGTCTCATTCTGTGTCCCAGGCTGGAGTGCAGTGGTGCAGTCATAGCTCACTGCAGCCTCAAACTCCTAAGCTTAAGCAATTCTCCTGCCTCGGCCTCCTGAGTAGCTGGGACCGCAGGCACAAGCCACTACACCTAATTTTTTAAAATTTTAAAATTTTTTGTAGGGAAAGGGTCTTCCTATGTTGGCCAGGCTGGTGTTAAACTCCTGGGCTGAAGTGACTCTTCCACCTCAGCCTCCCAAGTACTGGGATTACAGGTGTGAACCACCATGCCCAGCCTCCCTGGATCCTTGATCTTCAACTTTCTCTCTCTCCTGGCCTCATTAAAATCAGAGGGGCCGGGCACAGTGGCTCATGCCTGTAATCTCAACACTTTAGGAGACTGAGGCAGGAGGAACACTTGAGCCCATGAGTTCAAGCCCATCCTGGGCAACATAGCAAGACCCCATCTCTAGGGAAAAAAAATAGCAAAATTGGCTGAGTGTGGTGGTCCATGCCTGTAGTCCCAGCTACTTGGGAGGCTGAGGTGTGAGGATCACTTGATTCCAGGCATTTGAGGTTGCAGCGAGCTATATCATGGTGCCAGTGCACTCCAGCCTGGGCAACAGAGCAAGACCCTGTCTCAAAAAACAAACAAGCAAGCAAACAAAAACCTTGGAGGATCGCCTTGGCCAGTCCCCTCTTTCTGTCCTACAGGTGGAGGGTTCCAGAGAGGATCAGGACCTGGCACATGGCCACAGAGTTGGCAAGAGCCAGATTGGAGGCCAGGCCTCCTGATCCAGTCGCCTGCTCCAACCCCTGACTGTGCTGGGGTTCAGGCTAAGCCCCTTCCCACCCTGCCTCTTCCTCTACCTCAGCCCTGGCCCCAACTGCCCCCCTCTCCAACCTCCCCAGTCGCTCCCCTTACTGTCCGAGACACAATTGCTGTTGCTGTTGTCGGAACTGAGCTGGCAATGGGACCCAGAGGGGCATCGGAAGTCCCCGCACTGAATGGCTCCTCCTGTGCAGACACACTTCTCCGTGCAACCACGGGAGACCCAGCTCTTGCCCAGCTGTAGAAATTACAGGAAGAGAAACAGAGTGAGGAGGGGGCTGGGCGCAGGGGCTCACGCCTGTAATCTCAGCTCTTTGGGAGGCCGAGACGGCGGATCACCTAAGGTCAGGAGTTTGTGATGAGCCTGGCCAACCTGGTGAAACCCCTTCTCTACTAAAAACACAAAAACTAGCCGGGCATGGTGGCCCGTGCGTGTAATCCCAGCTACTCGAGAGGCTGAGGCAGGAGAATTGCTTGAACCCAGGAGGCAGAGGTTGCAGTGAGCCAAGATCACGCCACTGCACTCCAGCCTGGCAACAGAGTGAGACTCTGTCTCAAAAAAAAAAAAAAAGAGTGAAGAGGGAAGGGCCAGTTCTCCTTTCTCTTGCCCCAGTAGCCTAGCCCACCATCTAAATGGTTTAATTAATGCTGGCCAGAGGCAGCCACAGTGTCATGTGAACATCCAAAAGACAACTGTGCGGGCCAAGTGTGGTGGCTCACGCCTGTAATCTTAGCACTTTGGGAGGCCAAGGCGGGCAGATTACTTGAAGTCAGGAATTCAAGACCAGCCTGGCCAACATGGCGAAACACCATCTCTACTAAAAATACAAAAAGTAGCAGGGCATGGTGGCGCTTGCCTGTAATCCCAGCTACACAGGAGACTGAGGCAGGAGAATCACTTGAATCCAGGAGGCGGAGGTTGCAGTGAGCAGAGATCATGCCACTGCACTCCAGCCTGCTGGATAATAGAGGGAGACTCCGCCTCAAAAAGAAAAGAAAAGAAAAGAAAAAGGCACTGTGTTTGTGCTTGGTGTCTTACATAATGTTGTGCAGGAGGTATTACTGAACCCATTTTACAGACGAGGAAACGGAGATAACAGAGGTCATCTGACTCATCAGTGGCACTATCAGGATTCAATCCTACATCAGCTTGAAATGAGCCCATGGTCTTTCCACTATACCATACCACATGCTCCTTGTTTGGATTCCTCAAATCCAAAACCCAAATCATGTGCCATCAGCCCAGACCTGGCTAGAGATCAATGTGCCACTTACACCAGCCTTCACACCCCTGGGCCAGCTGTAAAGTCATGGGTATCCCAGGCAGAGAGAGACGGAGAAAAGGAGAAAGCACCACCCTCAAGCTGTGTTGCCTCCAGTCCCATTTCCCATGCCCACTCACAGGAATGGAGCCACCATGGGCATCCTTGCAGCCGCACTGACTTCTGGGGACACACTTGTCCTCACTCAGCACATAGCCGGGCTGACAAATGCAGCCCTCAGCACAGGCAGAGGGGACTTTGGCGCCTTCACACCGGCCATCCAGGTCCCAGCAGGAGGGTGAGCAGGAGGGAAGGCAGTTGGTGTAGCTGCTGTAGGCAGGGCATTCCAGAGCTGTGGGTGAAGGAGACAGTGGGTCAGTGGAGAGGGTCACAGGGGAGCCAGGGTGGGCAGGGATTGTAGAAACCAGGCTACGGATGGATGACCAACAAGGCTTGGGGAGCTTTTTTTTGTTCTTTTGTTATTCATTCAGAAAACATTTACTAAGTATGGGTTGTGTGCCAGGCTTTGGGGGAAAGAAAGGAACAAGCAGCTGGGCACCGTGGCTCACGCCTGTAATCCCAGCACTTTGGGAGGCTGAGGTGGGTGGATCATGAGGTCAGGAGATCGAGACCACCCTGGCCAACATGGTGAAACCCCGTCTCTACTAAAAATACAACAATTAACCGGGCATGTGGCAGGTGCCTGTAGTCCCAGCTACTCAGGAGGCTGAGGCAGGAGAATCACTTGAACCCAGGAGACAGAGGTTGCAGTGAGCCAAGATCACACTCCTGCACTCCAGCCTGGGCAACAGAGCAAGATTGTCTCAAAAAAAAAAAAAAAAGGAACAAGAATGACTCTCCCAAGTCAGCATGAAGGACTGTGGTCAAACAGTAACTGCAACATGACCTTGATGTGCATGATCAGTAGGTGTGTTGACAGGCAAGAGTATACAAGGCATGATGGAGGCACAGAGAAGGGAGGTGTTAATTCTGTTGGGGGAGTTAAAGAAAGGCCCTTAAGCAAAAGTAGTGTGAACAAATGGAAATGCATACCATGTTCATGGATAGGAAGGTTCAGCAACATGGTGATGTTAGTTCTGCCTCAGTGAATGTACACATTTAATGTGATCTCAATAAAATATACCAAAAATTTTTTTTTGTGGGGGGGCGGGGTGTGGGGACGGAGTCTCTCTCTGACATCCAGGAGTGATCTTGGCTCATTGCAGCCTCTGCCTCCCCAGTTCCAGAGATTCTCCTACTTCAGCCTCCCAGGTAGCTGGGATTACAGGTATGCACTACCACGCCAGGCTGATTTTTGTATTTTTAGTAGAGATGGGGTTTCACCATGTTGGCCAGATTGGTCTCAAACTCCTGACCTCAGGTGATCCTCCCACAATGGCCTCCCAAAGTGCTAGGATTACAGGCGTTAGCCACCGCACCCAGCCACCAAAAGTATTTTATATGTGTGTGTGCTTTTTTTTTTTTTTTTTTTGGAGATGGAGTCTCGCTGAGTTGCCCAGGCTGGAGTGCAGTGGAATGATCTCGGCTCACTGCAAGCTCCGCCTCCTGTGTTCATGCCATTCTCCTGCCTCGGCCTCCCGAGTAGCTGGGACTACAGGCGCCTAGCACTACACCCAGCTAATTTTTTTGCATTTTCAGTAGAGACAGGGTTTCACCGTGTTAGCCAGGATGGTTTTGATCTCCTGACCTCGTGATCCGCCCATCTCGGCCTCCCAAAGTGCTGGGATTACAGGCGTGAGCCACCACACCTGGCCCAAACGTGTGTGTGCTTTTAATAGGACAAGATGATTTCAAAGTTGAGCTGAAGACATAAGCAAACCAGAAAAGCCAGGAAATCCCTAAAAAAAAAAAAAAAAAAAAAAAGAGCCATCAGTAGTAAATGTCCCTCCATAGTCAACGTTTATTTTATTTTATTTTTATTTATTTATTTATTTTTTGAGACAGAGTTTTGCTCTTTTCACCCTGGCTGGAGTGCAATGGCACAATCTCGGCTCACTGCAACTTCCACCTCCTGGGTTCAAGCAATTCTCCTGCCTCAGCCTCCTGAGTTGCTGGAATTACAGGCACATACCACCACACTCAGCTAATTTTTGTATTTTTAGTAGGGACGGGGTTTCACCATGTTGGCCAGACTGGTCTCGAACTCCTGACCTCAGGTGATCCGCCCACCTCGGCCTCCCAAAGTGCTGGGATTACAGGCGTAAGGCACTGTGCCCAGTCCAAAGCTCATTTTAAATTTTCAGTGATTACGACTTTGTGTTACTATTACATGCAAATACAGATGAACCAATAGAACAGAGGAGAAAGCTCAGATAAGGATCCAAATATATATGGGAATTTAGTAGAAGACAAAGTGTGGAATCTCAGTCCCTGGGCAAAGACAGACTCGTCATTTAATAATGTTGGAACAGCTGGCTAGCCTTCTGGAGAAAAACAGAAACAAAGTTGATTCACACCTCATTTTACACATCAGGATAAATCCTCATGGGTCAAAAACTTAATATACACCAAAAAAAAAAAAAAAAAAAAAAAAACACCTCACTTAAATGTAAAAAAATGAAACCATAAAAGTTCTAGAGCAGGCCAGACACGGTGGCTCACTCCTGTAACCCCAACACTTGGGGAGGACGAGGCGGGCAGATCACTTGAGGCCAGGAGTTTGAGACCAGCCTGGCCAACATGGTGAAACCCCATCTCTACTAAAAATACAAAAAAATTAGCTAGGCGTGGTGGGAGGTGCCTGTAATCCCAGCTACTCCGAAGGCTGAGGCAGGAGAATGGCGTGAATCCGGGAGGTGGAGGTTGCAGTGATCCGGGATCACACCACTGCAGTGATGCAATCTCCACTCACTGCAAGCTCCGCCTCCTGGGTTCACGCCATTCTCCTGCCTCAGCCTCCCAAGTAGCTGGGACTACAGGCGCCCACCACCACGCCCAGCTAGTTTTTTGTATTTTTTTTTAGTAGAGACAGGGTTTCACCGTGTTAGCCAGGATGGTCTCGATCTCCTGACCTGGTGATCCGCCTGTCTCAGCCTCCCAAAGTGCTGGGATTACAGGCTTGAGCCACCGCGCCCAGTCTCAAACAAACAAAATTTCTAGAGCAAAGAATCAGCAAACTCTTTTGTAGCTTCTGTGCGGCTCGCATTTATAGCTATTGCTCAAGATGCAGAAGACATAAAACAAGATTAATATATTTGACCCCATAAAAAATTTTTTCCTGCATGGAAAAAAAAAAGCCAAAAGATGAAAACAAAAAGCACTGGAAAACTGTGTAACTCAGAGCACTAATAAAGGTCTACTTTCCATAATAGATAAAAGACTTCCATGAAATAGTTCAATAAAGACCAACGACCTAGTGGAAAAATGGTGACTGGCTATGAGCAGATAGTTTACAGAAAGGGAAATTCAAAGCGTTCCTAAGTATATGAAAAAATGTCCAATCTCACTCATAATAAAAACTCAAATTAAGACTTGTTATTTTTCATGTCCAGGCGCAGTGGCTCACGCCTGTAATCCTAGCACTTCGGGAGGCTTGAGCCAGGTGGATCACCTGAGTGAGGAGTTCAAGACCAGCCTGGCCAATATGGTGAAACCCCGTCTCTAATAAAAATACAAAAATTAGCTGGGCCTGGTGGAACATGCGAGTAATCTCAGCTACTCGGAGGCTGAGGCAGGAGAATCACTGGAACCTGGGAGGCAGAGGTTGCAGTGAGCCGAGATCATGCCACTGCACTCCAGCCTGAGCTACAGTGAAACTCAAAAAAAAAAAAAGAAAAGAAAAGAAAAAAAAAGGTATGGCAATATCAAATAAAAACTCAGGCTTATAGCTTATTCCAAAAAAAAAAATCAGAGGGTCTAGTCACACTGGACCCACGGTGATGCCCACCAGCTGTGGGGCAGCTGAGCAGAGGCCCCATTCTGTACAGGACCTGTGCGCTGCGTTCACCCTGACCCTCCGGCCAGCTCAGGCTGCTGTGCTCATGTTGCCTCCACTGGCCCTGAGAAGCTCTGCAGCGCCCCCTGTACCTCTGCTTTGCTCCTAGAATGAGAGAGTGCGTTAAAGAAAAATAAACCTGGCCGGGCGCGGTGGCTCAAGCCTGTAATCCCAGCACTTTGGGAGGCCGAGACGGGCGGATCAGGAGGTCAGGAGATCGAGACCATCCTGGCTAACACGGTGAAACCCCGTCTCTACTAAAAATGCAAAAAACTAGCCGGGCGAGGTGGCGGGCGCCTGTAGTCCCAGCTACTCGGGAGGCTGAGGCAGGAGAATGGCGTAAACCCGGGAGGCGGAGCTTGCAGTGAGCTGAGATCCGGCCACTGGAGTCCAGCCCGGGATACAGAGCAAGACTCCGTCTCAAAAAAAAAAAAAAAAGAAGAAAAATAAACCTTCTTGGCCAGGCACGGTGGCTGACGCCTGTAATCCCAGCACTTTGGGAGGCCAAGGTGGGTGAATTGCGAGGTCAAGAGATCGAGACCATCCTGGCCAACATGGTGAAACCCCATCTCTATTAAATATACAAAAATTAGCTGGTGTGGTGGTGCACTCCAGCCTGGGTGACAGAGTGAGACCCTGTCTCAAAAAAAAATTTTTTTTTTTGACAGAGTTTTGCTCCTTTTTGCCCAGGCTGGAGTGCAATGTCACCATCTCGGCTCACTGCAACCTCTGCCTCCCAGGTTCAAGCCATTCTCCTGCTTCAGCCTCCCGAGTAGCTGGGATTACAGGCATGTGCCACCACACCCAGCTAATTTTGTGTTTTCAGTGGGATGGGGTTTCACCATGTTGGCCAGGCTGGTCTCGAACTCCTGACCTCAGGTGATCCACCCACCTTGGCCTCCCCAAGTGCTGGGACTAAAGGCGTGAGCCATCATACCCAGCCTATATATATATATAAATAAATAATTCAAAAATAGTCCTTGTCAAAGAGACAATGAGAGCTGAATTAGGAACAAACAGGAAGGAGAGTAAGGGAGCTCTCAGGGAAGCAGAGAGGGAAAGGGGGTTTGGGAGGGGTTTGGGGTGACAGCAGGGCACACTCACGGCAGAAGCTGCTGTTTCTCCAGAGTGGGGGCTTGAGGCCCTGGCTCTGGCAGGTGGCCCCGAAGGCTTGCAGAGCCTGGCATAGGGCCTGGTGGAGACCTCCAAACTCACAGAGGGTGTTCGTACAGCCTACCAGGAAGGGCATGAGGTCTGTGTGGGAGGCACACTGGGCCCACACGGGAGCCCGGAGCACTGCCTCGCACTTTTCCCGCGCCCTGCGGAGGTCGGCCGCCCTGCAGTTTCCACTTGGGTTCTCCTGCTGTTCCGCTGGAATCTGCTGCTCATCTACTGGGAGACTCTGACAACTGGGAAGGGAAAAGAATCAGCCTAGGGACAGTTGTCCCTCTACCATGACACAATTTTTTTTTTTTTTTCTTTAGAGGGAGTCTTGCTCTGTCTCCCAGGGTGGAGTTCAATGCAACAGTCTCGACTCACTGCAACCTCTGCCTCCCCTCCTGGGTTCAAGAGATTCTCCTGCCTCAGCCTCCCGAGTAGCTGGGACTACAGGCACTTGCCACCACGCCCAATGAATGCTTGTTTTTTTTGTTGTTTATCTTTTTTTTTTTTTTTTTTTTTTTTTTTGGAGACAGTCTCACTCTGTCGCCCAGGCTTGAATGCAGCAGTGCAATAGTGCAATCTTGGCTCACTGAAACCTCTGCCTCCCAGGTTCAAGCAATTCTCCTGCCTCAGCCTCCTGAGTAGCTGGGATTACAGGTGCGCACCACCACACCCAGCTAATTTTTGGTTTTGGTTTATTTGGAGACAAGGTCTCACTTTGTCGCCCAGGCTGGAGTTCAGTGGCGTGATCTTGGCTCACTGCGACCTCTATGTATCAGGTTAAAGCGATTCTCCTGCCTTAGCCTTCCGAGGAGCTGGGATTACAGGCATGTGCCACCATGCCTGGCTAATTTTAGTTTTTAATTTTTTATAGAGACAGGGTCTTGCTATGTTGCCTAGGCCGGTCTCAAACTCCTGGCCTCAAGTGATCCTCCAGTCTTGGTCTCCCAAAGTGCTGGAATTACAGGCATGAGCCACTGCTCCTGCTCCTCCTCCAAGGTTTCTAAGTGAGGAAAAGAAGACTTTCACACTTCCCCAAGTGGGTTCTAGCAGCCTTGAGATGGATCAATTACACATATCACCCCAGAATGCCCAGAAGTCATCGCTCTCAAATCACACACACAAAGCAAGATTCTGGTCTGTAATCCCAGCACTTTGGGAAGCCAAGGCAGGAGGATCATTAGCGCCCAGGAGTTTGAGACCAACCTGGACAAACGTGGCGAGACCCTGTCTCTACAAAAAATTTAAAAATTGAAGAAGATAAAAGGAACATTCTGGTCTTCCTGCCCCAGGTGTGCCCTACAGTCTGGCTCCCTAGTTCATGTTACTATGAAAAGCTGGAGGGGTGGCCAGGCACAGTGGCTCACGCTTGTAATCCTAGCATTTTGGGAGGCTGAGGCAGGTGGATCACTTGAGGTCAGGAGTTCAAGGCCAGCCTGGCCAACATGGTGAAACTCTGTCTCTACCTAAAATACACAAATTAGCCAGGCGTGGGGCATGGTGTCATGCACCTGTAATCCCAGTTACTCGGGAGGTGGAGGCACAAGAATTGCCTGAACCTGGGAAGCAGAGGTTGCAGTGAGCCAAGATTGCACCATTGCACTCCAGCCTGGGCAACAGAGCAAAACTCCATCTCAAAAAAAAAAAAGAAAGAAAGAAAAAAAGAAAAGCTAGAGGGGCCAGGTGCAGTGGCTCATGATTACCTAGCACTTTGGGAGGCCAAGGCAGGCGCATCGCCTGAGGTCAGGAGCTCGAGACCAGCCTGGCCAACATGGTGAAGCCCCATCTCTTCTAAAAACTACAAAAATTAGCTGGGCATGGTGGTAGGTGGCTGTAATCCCAGTTACTCGGGAGGCTGAGGCAGGAGAATCTCTTGAACCCGGGAGGCGGAGGTTGCAGTGAGCCGAGATCGTGCCATGGTACTCCAGCCTGGGTGACAGAGCAAGATTCCGTCTCGGGAAAAAAAGAAAGAAAAGCTAGAGGGTCTTAGGGGACCACTACCTTGGGTCAATGTCCTTATCTTTCCAACTGGTCACAAATTCACTATCACTATGCGCTAGTTCGTCGCTGGGCATCATTAGTTCATCCTCTTCCTCGTCATTGAAGTTCCCGCACACGCCGCAGACCTGGGTGGGGAGAGTGGTTTTTCGGTGCTGGGGAAGCACGAGAGCAGCTTTTCTCCCTCCCTCCTTCCCTCCCTCCCTTCCTCCCTCCCTCTCTTCCTTCGAGTTTCTTCGGGTCTTGTCACCCAGCCTGGAGTGCCGTGGCATGATCTCGGCTCACCTCACTATTCGCCTCCCGGGTTCAAGTGACTCTCCCGCCTCAACCTCCCAAGTAGCTGGGATTACAGGTGCGCATCACCACCCCTAGCTAATTTTTTTAATCTTTATTTTTAATAGAGACAGGGTTTCACTATGTTGGCCAGGCTGATCCCAACCTCCTGACCTCAGGTGACCCATCTGCCTCGGCCTCCCAAAGTGCTGAGATTACAGGCGTGAGCCACCACACCCAGCCAGAACGGTTTTTCCTGTTTTTTCCTGGAAACACTCTTGTCCATCCTACACAGAAAGGCGCGCTCCACCACTGCCCTGCTCCCTCCTGAGGAGTGGCCTCTTTGGGCAGGCACGATGTGAACACTGCCCCCCGTCCCTGCCGGCCATCAATCTCCCCAGCTAGCAGAGCCAGATGTTTTCCTCACCTTTCCGTAGTAGGTTGTGGGGAGTTCAATCTCTAAGAGGCGATTCCCGTCAAACTTGACTTGCACCCCGATCTTGATGTTAACAATGGTGTAGACGCTGCTGGACTTGACGCTGACCCCGGGGATCTGGGAGATTGCAGGGAGGGTGACCTTTTTGCTGTTGATCTAAACAGGAGGACAGTGACGCTAAGTAGGAGCAGGGACTGGAGTCCTCTCCCCAACACTCCCTCCCAGGCCCGGTCACCACACCCAGCTCACCAGCACACGGTGGCCCTTCTGCAGGGTGACCCGGGCGTCGTAGATGTCAATGTAGACCTCGTGAAGGCGGAAAGCCTCAGTTCCACCTTCCTCCTTCTCATGCTTGGCACTGATCTTGAAGAACGGCAAGGCCATGGCGGGGTGGCACACTTTCACCAGGACGTGAGTGCAGGTGTCCCGGATAGAATGGTTGCTACCATCAAAGCTCACGTAGTGGGACTCCCCTGAGAGCTGACACACCCCCATACCTGGGAGGACAGAGACACAGCTGGGCTATGATGTTCCTCTGGCAGGTACAGCGTCCCTGGGAAACTAGTCCTGGGTTCTCCCTGCCTTCCAGAAAAGAGTCAAGACTCCAGGTCCAGCTGTGCGCAGCGGCTCATGCCTCTAATCCCAGCACTTTGGGAGGCCGAGGCGGGCTGGTTTGAGACCAGCCTGACCAACATGGTAAAACCCCGTCTCTACTAAAAAAATACAAAAAAAAAAAATAGGGTGTGGTGACATGTGCCTGTAATCCCAGCTACTTGGAAGACTGAGGCAGGAGAATCGCTTGAACCAGGGAGGCGGAGGTTGCAGTGAGCTGAGATTGCGCCACTGCACTCCAGCCTGGGCGACAAAGACACTATCTCAAAAAAAGAAAAAAAAGGCCGGGCGCGATGGCTCACGCCTGTAATCCCAGCACTTTGGGAGGCCAAGGCAAGTGGATCACGAGGTCAGGAGATCGAGACCATCCTGGCTAACACGGTGAAACCCCGTCTCTACTAAAAATGCAAAAAATTAGCCAGGCGTGGCAGCGGGTGCCTGTAGTCCCAGCTACTTGGGAGGATGAAGCAAGAGAATGGCGTGAATCCGGGAGGTGGAGCTTGTAGTGAGCCCAAGATCACGCCACTGCACTGCAGCCTGGGCGACTGAGTGAGACTCCGTCTCAACAAAAAAAAAAAAGAAAAGAAAAGAAAAAAAAAAAAACCTGGGGCCAGAGTTAGGAGGCGTGAAGTTTATGGGCGGAGGGGGGCATGATTCTTTGGAGGAAGGATTTTTTTTTTCTTTTTTGAGACATGGTCTCTCTCTGTCACTCAGGCTGGAATGCAGTGGCATGATCATAGCTCACTGCAGCCTCAAACTCCTGGGCTCAAGCCGTCCTCCTACCTCAGCCTCCAGAGTATCTGGGACTACAGGCATGAAGTACCCTATTCAACTAATTAAAAAAAATTTTTTTTAGAGACAGGGTCTTGTTCTGTTACCCAGACTGGTGTGCAGTGGCAAGATCATAGTTCACTGCAGACTCTAATTCCTGGGCTCAAGGGATCCTCCTACCTCAGCCTCCCAAGTAGCAGGAGCTACAGGTGCAATGTCTTTAATTTTAATTTTTAATTTTTAATTTTTTGTTTTTTGTAGAGATGGGCATCTCACTATGTTGCCCAGGCTGGTCTTGAACTACTGGCCTCAAGTGACCCTCTGACTTCAGCTTCCCAAAGCACTGGGATTACAGGCATGAGCCACCATGCCTGGCCTCCAGGGAAAGATTTATTTAGAGACGGAGTTTTGCTCTTGTCACCCAGGCTGGAGTGCAATGACATGATATCTGCTCACTGCGACCTCTGCCTCCTGGGTTCAAGCAATTCTCCTGCCTCGGCCTCTCGAGTAGCTGGGATTACAGGCTAATTTTTGTATTTTTAGTACAGACGGGGTTTAGCCATGTTGGTCAGGCTGGTCTTGAACCCTGGTCTCAAGTGATCTGCCTGCCTTGGCCTTCCAAAGTGCTGAGATTACAAGTGTGAGCCACGGTGTCCGGCCCCAGGAAAGGATTTATAATATTCCATCTAAGTTGGTGGCCACTGCAGGAGAAGGATGAGTGAGTCTCCCTTCTCAGCAGTTGGAGGTCATCTTTCCCACTGGAAGCTCTTTGTTGCAGCAGAGTTATGAGCCGAAACCTGAACCCCAGTGCTACAGGCAGCAGGGAGTCTGTTGGGGAGTTGGGAGAGCTGGCCTCAGGGTTGTGGGGTCCCCCTATCACCGTGGTCCTCCTACCTGAGGCCCGGCAACGGAGTAGCCCATCCAGGGCCCAGCACATCTGGTTGGGTTTACAGGTGCTTTGGAAGCAGGTGATGTTGTTGTGGATGGAGCAGGTGCAGAGCCTGGTGCAGGTGTCCTCTGTGTACCAGCGCTCCCCGACCTGTGGGCCACAGGGATCAGCAGAGCCAACAGAAAGTTGGAATCGGGAGATGGGCTGATGTCCGGGTTGAAGTTGGCTGCAGCATCTGGCCTTCCTCCTCGTCCCCCAGCCTTGGCCAGCCCTGCCCCTTCCAGGTTCTGAGCCTTCCTCCTGCCTCTCCTGAGCTTGCCCTGACCCCAAACATGTGGGCCTGGAAAGGGCAGGGCCCCTGCTAGCTGGCCTCTCACCGGATGGTAGGAGCCCGCTGGCTCGGTGCAGCCACACTGGCCAAGGGGCACGCAGGAGGTTCCACTCAAGATGTAGCCTTTCTGACATTCGCAGCTCTCAGCACAAGGCAGTGCTTTGGGGCAGTCCCTCGGGTCGTTTATGCTGCTGCAGGTGGCTGGGCAGGGGCTGCCGCAGGGGCTATAGCTGCTGCCAGGTGGGCACCTCATAGCTAAGGAAAATGAGAGCATTAGGAAGAGCGGGGGGGCATTTCCAGCCCCCAAACCTTGGGGCGTCAAAAGCTCCTAGTAGTGGCTGGGCATGGTGGCTCACACCTGTAATCCCAGCACTTTGGGAGGCTGAGGCAGGTGGATCACCTGAGGTCAGGAGTTCGAGATCAGGCTGGCCAACATGGTGAAACTCATCTCTACTAAAAATGCAAAAATTAGCTGGGCGTGGTGGTGCACGCCTGTCGTCCCAGCTACTTAGGTGGCTGAGGCAAGAGAATCTCTTGACCCTGAGAGGCAGAGGTTGCAATGAGGCAAGGTCAGACCACCACACTCCAGCCTGGGTGACAGCGAGACTCTCAAAAGCAAAAACCAAAAAAAACCAAACAGACATAAAATCTACCATTTAACATTTTTTTTTTCTTTGAGACAGAGTCTCACTCTGTCACCCAGGCTGGAGAGCAGTGGTGTGATCTTGGCTCACTGCAAGCTCCGCCTCCCGGATTCATGCCATTCTCATGCCTCAGCCCCCCAAGTAGCTGGGACTACAGGTGCCCACCACCACGCCTGGCTAATAGGTTGTGTTTTTAGTAGAGACAAGGTTTCACTGTGTTAGCCAGGATGGTCTCAATCTCCTGACCTTGTGATCCACCTGCCTCGACCTCCCAAAGTACTGGGATTACAGGCATGAGCCACCGCGCCCGGCAACAATTTTTAAATGTACACTTCAACAGCACTAAATACATTCACATTGTTGTGCTGCCATTACCACCATCCATCGCCAGAACTTTTTGTTTTGTTTTGTTTTGTTTTACACTCTTGTTTTTTGTTTCACTCTTGTCGCCCAGGCTGGACTGCAGTGGTGCGATCTCGGTGCACTGCAACCTCTGCCTCCCAGGTTCAAGTGATTCTCCCACCTCAGCCTCTCAAGTAGCTGGGATTACAGGTGCTCACCACCACACCTGGCCAATTTTTGTATTTTTAATAGAGACAGGGTTTCACCATGTTGACCAGGCTGGTCTGCAACTCCTGACCTCAGGCGATCCGCCCACTTTGACTTGAACACAGGAGGTGGAGGTTGCAGTGAGCCGAGATTGCGCCACTGCACTCCAGCCTGGGCAACAGAGCAAGACTCCATCTCAAAGAAAAAAAAAAAAAAAAGAATTTAGAGGAAGAAAGGGAGGGCAGAATTCTGGAGGGTTCCTACAGGCTGTGGGAACAGGTGGCCAGTCACTCACGGCAGAAAGTTCTGTTCCGCCAGGCAGGAGCCTGGCCAGCCCGGGCACACAGGGACGCATAAGCCTGCAGGGAGCGGCACAGGGCCGTGGTGTCGCCCTTGGTCCCACACTGGCCATGCACGCAACTGGCAAAGCTGGACTTGGGAGGCACCACCTGGTGACATTGAGAGAAGGGTCCTGCAGGAAGAGAGAAGGCAGGTGAGCCAGGGGAGGGGCCGGGAAGGAGCACGGCCATGTGGCTTCCCTGGGGGCTGATTTGACATCCACTTCAATCAAAACCTGGATTTTCCCACCAGGCACAGTGGCTCACACCTGCAATTCCAGCACTTTGGGAGGCCGAGGCGGGCAGATTACTTGAGGTCAGGAGTTGGAGACTCACCTGACCAACATGGTGAAACCCAATCTCTAGTAAAAATACAAAAATTAGCAGGGCATTGTAGAGAGCACCTGTAGTCTAGGCAACTCGGGAGGTTGAGGCAGGAGAATCTCTTGAACCCAGGAGGCAAATGTGGCAGTGAGCTGAGATAGCGCCATTGCACTCCAGCCTGGGCAACAAATCGAGACTCTGTCTCAAAAACAAAACAAAATGAAACAAAACAAACAAAAAAAAAAACCCTGGATTTTCCAGCCTGAGCAATACGGTGAAACTCTGTCTCTACAAAAATTAGCTGGGCATGGTGGTGCACACCTGTAGTCCCAGCTACTCGAGAGACTGAGGCAGGATGAGCTATGATTGTGCCATTGCACTCCAACCTGGGCAACAGACAATAAAAACAAAACAAACAAACAAACAAAACCCAGATTTGTGTGGTGGCTCCCGCCTGTAACCTCAGCACTTTAGGAGGGCAAAGCAGGAGAATCACTTGAGCCCGGGAGTTCAAGACCAGCCTGAGCTGCATAGCAAGGCCTCATCTCCAAAATATTAAAAAATTGGGCCGGGCACGGTGGCTCACGCCTGTAATCCCAGCGCTTTGGGAGTCTGAGGTAGGCGGATCATTTGAGGTCAGGAGTTCAAGACCAGTCTGGCCAACATGGTGAAATACTAAAAATACAAAAACAAGCTGGGTGTGGTGGCACAGGCCTGTAATCCCAGCTACTTGGGAAGTTGAGGTGGTAAAATAACTTGAACCTGGGAGGCGGAGGTTGCAGTGAGCCGAGATCACACCATTGTACTCCAGCCTAGGCGACAGGGCGAGATTCCAACTCAGAAAAAAAAAAAAAATTAGTTGGGCATGGTGGTGCCTGCCTGTAGTCCCAGCTACTCTGTAGGCTGAAGCGGGGGGATTACTTGAGCCCAGGAGTTCAAGCCTGCAGTGAGCTGTGATTGTGCCACTGCACTCCAGCCTGGGCAAGACCTTATCTCTAAAAAATAAGAAAAAAGAAAAAACGGCCAGGCGTCGTGGCTCATGCCTGTCACCCCAACTACTTAGGAGGCCAAGGGGAGGATCCCTTGAGGTCCATAGTTCCAGAACAGCCTGGGCTACACAGTGAGAGTCCCCCATCTCTATTAAAACTTACTTTCTTTTTTTTTTTTGAGACAGAGTCTCACTCTGTGGCCCAGGCTGGAGTGCAGTGGTGTAATCTTAGCTCACTGCAACCTCTGCCTCCCAGGTTAAAGCGATTCTCCTGCCTCAGCCTCCCTAGTAGCTGGGACTACAGGTGCCCACCACCAGGCCCAGCTAATTTTTTGTATTTTTAGTAGAGACGGAGTTTCACCGTGTTAGCCAGGCTGGTCTCGAACTCCTGACCTCATGATGTGCCCTCCTCAACTTCCCAAAGTACTGGGATACAGGCATGAGCCACTGCGCCCGGCCTATTAAAACATTTCTAATAGAAAAGAAAGAAAGAAAGAAAGAAAGAAAGAAAGAAAGAAAGAAAGAAAGAAGAAAGAAAGAAAGAAAGAAAGAAGAAAGAAAGAAAGAAAAAGAAAGAAAGAAAGAAAGAAAGAAAGAAAGAAAGAAAGAAAGAAAGAAGAAAGAAAGAAAAGAAAGAAAGAAAGAAAGAAAGAAAGAAAGAAAGAAAGAAAGAAAGAAAGAAATTCCTGATTTATTTACTGCCTGAGACACAAATACAGACCCATCAGTCATAGGTCCCAAGAAGGTGACCGCTGGTTGGTCCTGTGTTCCCATTTGCCTTCCTCGTGCCTTTCCATCTGTTTCTGGTTTTGTTTCTCCCTCCCTGACTAGACTCCTTCCCCAGGCTCCTGTCCTTCAGGGAGGAAAAAGGACCAGCAGGGACATGTCTTACCCTGAGGGTTTATTAAGATCGCACAGTTCTTGTTCCAGGCGTCTGCCATGCTGTTCTCCTGGCAGCTGGAGGGCTTGCCACCCACAAGGAAACAGCTGAATGAGGAGAGAATAGAAACTGAGGGCTACAGGCTGGGCACAGTGGCTCATGCCTATAATCCCAGCACTTTGGGAGGCCAAGGTAGGAGGACTGCTTGAGACTAGAAGTTCAGGACCAGGCTGGGCAACATAGTGAGATCCCATCTCTACACAAAACTTTAAAAAATTAGCCGGGCGTGGCGGCATGTGCCTATAGTCCCAGCTACTCAGGAGGCTGTGGTGGGAGGATGGCTTAAGCCCAGCAGTTGGAGGCCTCAGTGAGCTATGATTGCACCACTGCACTCCAGCCTGGGCAACAGACCAAGACCCTATCTCAAGAGAAGAAAAGAAAAAAAGGAAAGGAAAAAGGGAAGGGAAGACCTGAGGGCCTGAGGAACCATCTCCCAAACCGAAGCAAAAGTGGACAAGGGTCTGGGCGTAGTGGCTCACACCTGTAATCCCAGCACTTTGGGAGGCCAAGGCAGGCAGATCACCTGAGGTCAGGAGTTTGAGACTAGCCTGGCCAACATGGAGAACCCCTGTCTCAAATAAAAATACAAAAATTAACCAGGCGTGGTGGAGAGCACCTGTAATCCCAGCTACTTGGAAGGCTGAGGCAGGAGAATCACTTGAACCTGGGAGGCGGAGGTTGCATTGAGCCAAGATTGTGCCACTGCACTCTAGCCTGAGTGACAGAGCATGACTCTGTCTCAAAAACAAAACAAAACAAAAAGTGGGCAGGGAAAGAGAGAGCGATACAGGAGAAGAGGACAAAACGGTGCCCTCAAGTGGGAAGGCCAGGAGATGCAGCAGGAAGGAAAAAGGTTAGACCTCAGGGTGAACTCAAGTGGACCCTCCAAAGAGATCACTAAACATAGAAGTCAGCAGGCGTGGGCGTGGGGGCGTGGGAGGTCAGAATAACTTCTTACCAACTCCAATCTTGGAGAGTCTAAACAGGCGAGATTGCCAGTTTCTGGCCAGTAGGGAAGTACAGCACAGAGGGAGTGGGGACACACAGAGGACACTTCCAAGCTGCCCCCCGAGGCCTTTCCCTGGCCCAGCCCCTCCTGCCTGGCTCCCCCGGCCCCCAGCTCACCCAGGTTCAGAGGATTCAGGTAACTTCCAGGCTGCCCCCAGCTGCACGGAATCGCCCGCAGGCTTTCTGTCGGGGCGCTGGTTGTCGTCCAAGCTGTTGTTGTTGTAGTTCCCTAGAGGAGGGAGCCGTTAAAACAGGCAACAAAGGGCCCCCCAGCAGGGCAGGCCCCAGGGCCACCATCCTCCTGGCCAGAAGAGGCACCCTCACTCTTCACTCTACATAGCAAAGTTAACCCTTTCTGTCTCTTTTGCTTTTTCTTCTTTTTTGAGATGCAGTCTTGTTCTATCACCCAGGCTGAAGTATAGGCGTGATCTCGGCTCATTGGAACCTCTGCCTCCCAGGTTCAAGCGATTCTCCTGCGTCAGCCTCCCGAGTAGCTGGGATTACAGGCGTGCACCACCATGCCCAGCTACTTTTTGTATTTTTAGTAGAGACAGGGTTTCACTATGTTGGCCAGGCTGGTCTCGAACTCTTGACCTCAAGTGATCTGCCCTCCTCGGGCTCTCAAAGTGCTGCATTTACAGGCATGAACCACTGCACGTGGCCCCTTTCTGTCTCTTCATCTCCGTCTTCCCTTAACTCCTACCTTCATGCCTAATGTCCTCAACCAATTAGTCAGTTGACAAGTACTTAGAACACCTCACAGAGATGTGGGAGGACCAGGTCACATGCCTCCTCATTGCCCCAGCTTTCCCTGCAGGTGCCCAGGAAACTCACCGCACAGCCCGCAGAGCTGGCCGCCATAGGAGGAGGGGACTGTCACTTCCACCAAGTGGCTCCCATCGTAGCGAACTTGGAGCCCAAAGTTCGTGTAGAGGAGGACAAAGTTGCTGCTGAGCCTTATGGTCACCCGGCCTTGTGCAGGCCACACAGGTAGGGCCACCCGATGGCCATTCAGCTTCAGAGGCAGGGAGGACGTAGAAAGGAGAGTCAGGAAGGAACTTGGGTTAAAGTCAAGGACGGGGGCTCATGCCTGCAAACCCAGCACTTTGGGAGGCCAAGGCAGGAGGATTGCTTGAGCCCAGGATCTCAAGATCAGCCTGGGCAACATGGAGAAACCCCGTCTCTACAAAAAGTAAAAAAAAAAAAAAAAAATAGCCGTGCAGGTGGTGCGTGCCTGTAGTTCCAGCTACTTGGGAGGCTGAGGCGGGAGGATCACTTGAGCCCAGGGGGTCAAGGCTACAATGAGCTATGATTGCACGACTGCACTCCAGCCTAGGTGATAGAGCAAGACCTTGTCTCAGGAAAAAAAAAAAAAAAAAAAAAGTGGTCGGGGGGGAGCAAAAAACTGGGAGCAGGAGGGGCTGGTGCCGGTGGGCATTTCACAGAGGGAGGAGGGAGTCCAAGGAGGAGGGTCTGGGTCAGCTGCAGGTGCCTCCCAGGTGCTCTAAGGAGCCAGAGAGGTGGGCATGTGGGCAAGGAGGGGCACAGGAGAGAAGCAAGCAGGCTGGGTGTTCAGGGTCCAGGAGGCAGGAGGAAGACACCCACCATGACCTTACAGCCTCTGAGCAGTGAGATGCTGAGGTCAAAGACCATCACGTGGACAGCTTTGATGTAGGAGACCTCCAGGTTCCCCCCGCGGTTCTCGTTGGTGGCGCTCACAACAAAATAGCTGTCTTGGGACCTGGACCAGCAAGGCCGGGTCAGGACATAGGTGCAGGTGCCCATGAAGTGGTGCAAGGCGCCATCGAAGGTCAGGTAGTGGGGATCGCCCGAGGCCGTGCAGGTGGCGGCACCTGCGGAGGAGAAGATGGAGTTCACGGTCTCACTGCTCCACTCCCCGGAAGCTCTGACCCAGAGCTGCCACACTGGCGAGTCCACACCGGCATGGTCCCCACAGCCCACCCGCAGATGCGGTGTTTCCCTAGGAAGTGTGGTTGGCTTGGTTTGGAGCTGCCGAAGAGAAACACTGACATCCCCAACCTCACCCTCTGGGTCTTTGATAATGCTGCCCCTCCTAGGCCTTGGTGGAGACTCAGCTGTCTGGGGAAGCTGCTTTGGGCAGGACCCATCACCTTGCCTGGTGTTACCTGGGCAGCTCCTGGCTCACCTTCCACCCTGACGGCTCACCTTGGGCATGGCAGCCATAGATACCATCCTGCAGGCCACAGAACTCCTGGGCCCTACACCTCCAGGGCTGGCAGCGAATTCTGTTGTTGCTTTCACAGATGCACAGCTCTTTGCAGCCCGGCTTGTACCACTGCTCCCCTACCTGGGGGAAGACAGCAGGGAAGGAAGAGAAAGTGGTTTGTTTTGTTTTGTTTGTTCCCAGATCTGACACCAGAGCCCACCAGAGTTGTTCAGATCACTGGCTTAATCGTGGGGAGACATCCTCTTTTCCTGAAGCTCCGAGATTCGCTGCAAAAGCTCGGCATCCATTCACTGCTTCAGTCACTTCATCATTTCTGGGTCTGTTCATCATTTCAACCAAAACTGATCTATCCGAGGCCAGGTGTGGCGGCTCACGCCTGTAATCCCGGCACTTTCAGAGGCCAAGGTGGGCGGATCACTTGAGGTCAGGAGTTTGAGACCAGCCTGGCCAACATGGCGAAATCTCATCTCTACTAAAAACACAAAAATCAGCCTGGTGTAGTAGTGTGTGCCTGTAATCCCAGCTACTCGGGAGGCTGAGGCAGAAGAATCACTCGAACCCAGGAGGCAGAGGTTGCAGTGAGCTGAGACCATGCCACTGAACTCCAGTCTGGGCAACAGAGTGAGACTCGGTCTCAAAACACAAACAAAACAAAACAAAACCAAAAAACCAAAGTCCAGGCGTGGTGGCTCATGCCTGTAATCCCAGCACTTTGGGAGGCCCAGGTGGGCAGATCACGAGATCAAGAGATCAAGACCATCCTGACCAACATGGTGAAACCACCCCCTACCCTGTCTCTACTAAAAATTCAAAAATTAGCTGGGCATGGTGGCACACGCCTGTAGTCCCAGCTACTCGGGAGGCCGAGGCAGGAGAATGGCGTGAACCCAGGAGGCAGAGGTTGCCGTGAGCCGAGATGGCGTCACTGCACTCCAGCCTGGGGACAGAGAGAAACTCTGTCTCAAAAACAAAACAAAACAAAACAAGAAACAAAAAGAAAAGAAAGAGCTTGCAGGGGGTGTGAGAGCAGGGAGCAGGCCCTTTCTGGCTGCAGGGCTGAGAGGTCCACGCAGCCGCTCACCTTGAAGTAGCTGCCTGCAGGGTGGAGGCACCCACATTGGGAGCGAGGTACGCACTCGAGGCCACTGAGGACGAAGCCTGGATTGCATTCACAGGCCTCCACGCACCGGTCTGAGCAGAACATGCCGGTGAATCCTGAATGGCAGGTGTCAGGGCATGGCTTGGCACACAGGGAGTACTTGCTATTGGGCGGGCAAGCCATTGCTGGTGGAGGGAAAAGCTTGGGTGAGAAGGAGACGAACAAGCCACGAGCCCAGGTGGGAAACAGGAAAGACACGTTCAGAAGGGTCCCAGCTCCAGGTTTCTGGCCAATCTCGAGAAGAGACAGTGACTGTGAGAAGCTTCCCCAAGAAGCCTGGCTGGCTCCCTGGGGCTGCAGGGCCAGCACTAAGGCGCCTGCCCTAAGAGCCTTAGATAGACCTATGGTGGGAACTGACCGACCCACCACTGGTAACGCTGCTGTAAAAACATGCCCCAGGTGAGCTGTTGGCCTGTAGGGGAACGGGGCCACCTGTGAGGTCTGAGTCAGGGGATAGACCTGCCCTGAAGCAGCTTCCCCAAAGAGCTGGGCCACGTTGCCTCCCCTGCCTAGGGCCTGTACCGTGTGCCTGCATGTGATGACTTGGCTGCACAAAAACACTTTTTTTTTTTTTTTTTTTTTTAAGACAGAGTTTCACTCTCGTTGCCCAGGCTGGAGTGCAGTGGTACAATATCTGCTTACTGCAACCTCCACCTCCTGGGTTCAAGCGATTCTCCTGCCTCAGCCTCCCAAGTAGCTGGGATTACAGGCGCCCACTCCCACATCCAGCTAATTTTTGTATTTTTATTTTATTTATTTATTTATTTTTTTTTTTTGAGACGGAGTCTCGCTCTGTCGCCCAGGCTGGAGTGCAATGGTGTGATCTCGGTTCACTGCAACCTCTGCCTCCCGGGGTCAAGCAATTCTCTGCCTCAGCCTCCTGAGTAGCAGGGATTACAGGCGCGTGCCACCACGCCCGGCTAATTTTTGTATTTTTAGTAGAGACAGGGTTTCACCATCTTGGCCAGGCTGGTGTTGAACTCTTGACCTCGTGATCCACCCGCCTCAGCCTCCCAAAGTGCTGGGATTACAGGTGTGAGCCACCGCACCCAGCCTATTTTTATTGTTTTTTGAGATGGAGTCTCACTCTGTCACCAGGCTGGAGTACAGTGGTGCAATCTTGGGTCACTGCAACCTCCACCTCCCAAGTTCAAGCGATTCTCCTGCCTCAGCCTCCAGAGTTGCTGGGACTACAGGCATATGCCACCATGCCTGGCTAATTTTGGTATGTTCAGTAAAGACGGGGTTTCAGCATGCTGGCCAGGCTGGTCTCGAACTCCTGACCTCGTGATCCACCACCTCGGCCTCCCAAAGTGCTGGGATACAGGTGTGAGCCACTGCGCCTGGCCTCTCCCCTGCATTTGGCACAACTCACGGCAGAACTGGGGTTCCCTCCAGGGCTTCACAGCATGGCCTGCGTCCTGGCAGGTGGTGGTCATGGTGGACATGTGTGTGCACAGCAGGTGCTGCAGTCCCTGGAATCTGCACATATCAAGCATGCAGCTGTCGAAGAAGGAAGTGGCCTTCACATGCAGCAGGCATGTCCTACAGGGAGAGACCAAGTCAGGGGGAATGGGGTGGATGGGGCCAGACCCTTGGAGGAGCCCCGGTGCCAAGCACCACCCCTGCGCGACCCTGCCTGCCCTCCTTCATACTCAAACGGGCCACGGGTGTCGACCAGCCGTCCACAGAATCCTGGCCCCGACATGTTGCTCTGCAGAGATGAATCACAAGACGGGGGATTCACCACCTGGTGCTTCTGACACCTGCAAGAGACCCACCCCAAATGCCCTAAAGACAAAGACTCGCTTCCAGCTCAGCCCTAACCCAGCAGGCAGCAAGGTTGGCAGGCCGGGTCCTGGTTGGCAAACCAGCCTGTCAGCTGGGAAACCCCTCCCAGAGGACGTCTGAACACCGAGCCCTGGCCAGGCACTGTGGGAGGCCGAGGCAGGGAGAATCGCTTGAGCCCAGGAGTTCCAGGCCAGCCTGGGCAATGCAGTAAGATCCCATCTCTACAAAAATAAATATGAAATTAGCTGGGTTTGGTGGCACACATCCATAGCCCCAGCTACTCAGGAGGCTGAAGTGAGAGGATCAGTTGAGCCCAGGACTTGGAGGCTACAGTGAGCTGTGATTGAACCATTGTACTCCAGCCTGGGTGACAGAGCAAGGTCCTATCTCTAAAAACAAACAAACAAACAAACAAAGAATATTGAGCAACTGAAAGAACAACTTGAAGTCTCCAGGGTAGAGAGGAGAAAGGGGCAATGCCAGTCATTTTCAAAGGGAGGGCACAGGCTGGGTGCGGTAGTGCATGCCTGTAATCCTGGCATTTTGGGAGGCCAGGGCAGGCGAATCACCTGAGGTCAGGAGTTCGAAACCAGCCCGGCCAACATGATGAGACCCCGTCTCTATTAAAAATACAAAAATCAGACAGGTGTGGTGGTGTGTGCCTATAATCCCAGCTACTTGGGAGACTGAGGCTCGAGAATCACTTGAGCCCAGGAGGCAGAGGTTTCAGTGAGCTGAGATTGCGCCACTACACTCCAGCCTGGGTGACAGAGCAAGACTCCATCTCAAAAAAAAAAAAAAAAAAAAAAAAAAAAGTTGGGGAGGGCCAGCAGCCTGGTCAACATAGTGAGACCCCCCCATCTCTACCAAAACATTTTGTTAAAGTTAGCTGGGCATGGTATAGTCCAAGCTACTTGGGAGGCAGAGAAGGGAGGATTGCTTGAGCCCAGGAGTTTGAGACTACAGTAAGCCACGATCGTGCCATTGCACTCCAGCTTGGGAGACAGAGGGGGGATCCCATCTCCAAAAAAAAAAAAAAAAAAATGGGGCGGGGGAGGACTGGGCGTGGTGGTGTAGTGGCTCACACCTGTAATCCCAGCACTTTGAGAGGCCAAGGCAGGTGAATCACTTGAGGCCAAGAGTTTGAGACCAGCCTGGCCAACATGGTGAAACCCCATCTCTACAAAAATAAGAAAATTAGCCGGGCGTGGTGGTGGGCGCCTGTAATCCCAGCTACTCGGGTGGCTGAGGCAGGAATTGCTTGAGCCTGGGAAGTGGAGGTTGCAGTGAGCTAAGATCGCACCACTGCACTCCAGCCTGAGCGAGAGAGGGAGACTCCATTTCAAAAAAAAAAGAAAGAAAGAAAGAGAGTGCCAGGAAGGGGACAGGACCCTCCTGAGGCCCCAGTGGGAGGGCTCCTTGCTCACTCCTGGTCCTCGTCCTGGTCTGTCTGCCAGCTGTTCCCCAGCTCCTCCTTGTCTCCTGCTGGACTGCCATCCGACTTCAGATGGTCATTGTCACTGTTGCCGTCATAGTTTCCACACAAACCACAGAGTTTGCCAGAGTAGGTGCTGGGGGAACAGGAGAGGAGCTGGCGTTAATGGAAAGAAGGAGCCTCAGTCCTCGAGGGGCAGTGGCAGAGAAGGCAAGGACCTAGGGTCCCAAAGCAGAGGGCGTGAGGAGGATGAAGAGGTGTGGACTGGACAAGAGGACCCATGGCTCTCCCCCGAGCCTCCTTCCCCTCTGTTCATTGTCCAGCCACAGCAAACCCCTTGCTGGCCCTAAAACACTCCCGCCTTATTTATTTTATTTTATTCTTCTTTTTTTCAGATGGAGTCTCTCTCTGTCACCCAGGCTGGAGTGCAGTGGTGCAATCTTGGCTCACTGCAACCTCCGCCTCCCAGGTTCTAGCGATTCTCCTGCCTCAGCCTTCCAAGTAGCTGGGATTATAGGCACATACCACCATGCCCAGCTAATTTTTTTGTATTTTTAGTAGAGACGGGGTTTCACCATGTTGGCCAGGCTGGTCTCGAACTCCTGACCTCAGATAATCTGCCTGCCTCGGCCTCCCAAAGTGCTAGGATTACAGGTGTCAGCCACCATGCCTGGCCAAATTATTTATTTATTTATTTATTTTAGAGATAGGGTCACCCTCTGTGGCTCAGGCTGGAGCGCAGTGGTGCAATCTCGTCTCACTGCAGCCTCCAACTCCTGGGCTCAAGCAATCCTCCCACGTCAGCCTCCTGAGTAGCTGAGACTACAAGCAAGTACTGCCACAACCAGCTAATTTTGTTTTTTATTTTTTAAGAGACAGGATCTCACTATGTTGTCCAGGCTGGTCTGGAACTCCTGGACTCAAGTGATCCTCTTGCTTCGGCCTCCCAGCATGCTGAGGTTATAGGTGTAGACCACTATGCCTGGCTAATATTTAAAATTTTTTGTGGAGATGGGGTCTCACTATGTTGCCCAGGCTGGTCTGGAACTCCTGGCCCCAAGGGATTCTCCCACCTCAGCCTCCCACAGTGCAGAGCTATAGGCGGGAACCCCTGCACCTGGCCGCTATAAATTATTTTTCTAAAGTCTTTCTTTCACTGGGCACAGTGGGTCACCCCTGTAATCCCAAGACTTTGGGAGGCTGAGGCAGGAGGATCACCTGAGGTCAGGAGTTTGAGACAAGCATGGCCAACATGGTGAAATCCTGTCTCTACTAAAAATACAAAAATTAGCTGGGCATGGTGGTGCATGCCTGTAATCCCAGCTACTTGGGAGGATGAGGCAGGAGAATCGCTTGAACCTGGGAGGCAGAGGTTGCAGGGAGCCGAGATAGCACCACTGCACTCCAGCCTGGGCAACAGAGCGAGGGATCCTGTCTCAAAAAAAAAAAAAAAAAAGGAAAAGAAAAAGAATCTTTCTTTCCCTTGTTTTGTCCATCTGGGGAGCCACTCTTCCTTTGAGAATGGGACCAGGTGTCTGCCCTTCTGAAAGCCTCCAGAACTCACTAGTGCTCCTTCTAGCACATTACCAAAGCATGTACGTCCATCCTGCTATCTATCACATGCCCCGAAACCATTTTCTCCTGTCTCCTGGTCCAAAGAGAGCCCTGCCACTTAAGCAGGGTGCTTCCCACCCATCAGGAGATGCATAAAGGATCAAGTAGTGCTGCCAGGGATGGAAGGGGAGTGGGCAGGGTGGGCAGCAGGAAGAAGTGGCAGCTGCCTGGCCGGGACACCGCCTCACCTGGACACAGTCACATACAGCTGCTGGTCACCATCCCATCTCACCCGCAAACCAAACTCCGTCTGCAACTCCACAAATCGCCCGCTTGCACCCAGGAAGACACCTTTAGAGGGTATGGCTGGGAGAGTAACTCGCTGACCCTCAACCTGGAAAGGCAGGGCAGAGGCAAGAGACAGAGAGACAGATCTGGGGGTCAAGGACGACCCCAGCAGACTTCCATTTCCATGGCTGGAAGGCAGGACACCATCCACAGCAGCCTAACAATCTCATCTACCAGGAGTGGACTGGAGCTTCCTCACCATTGTTTTGTTTTTGTTTTTAAGAGACAGTGTCTTACTATGTTGCCCAGGCTGGAGTGCAATGGTGCAATCACAGCTCACTGCAGCCTCGACCTCCCAGGCTCCAGCAATCCTCCCACCTCAGCCTCTGGAGTAGAGGGGACAACAGGCAAGTGCCACCACACCAGGCTAATTTTTTCTATTTTTAAAGAGACAGGGTCTTGCTATCTTGCCCAGGCTGGCTTCAAACTCCTGGCCTCAAGCAATCCTCCCACTTTAGCCTCCCAAGGAGCTGGGATTGCAGGCCACTGTCTTGTGGAACCCCATCCGTGGAAGGGTTCAGGGCCTGGAAGGGTCAGCCAGGGGACACAGTGAGACCCTGCAAGGATGGTGGGGGCGGAACGGGGCTCACCAGAGTACGTCTGCTCTTAAGCAGGGTGACGGTGGTCTCGGGAAGGGTCACGTAGACTTTGCTTAGGCAGGACACGCCTTCCTGTCCCTGCTCCTCATTCTTGGCTGTCACCCTGAAGAATGGGTCTGGGTGGGGAGAAGAATGAAAAGAGTCCAGTGGCTCATTTCTCAACATCCGCCACGAGCAGTGCCCTGAGCCCAGCGCCACAGGGAGAGATGAACACCACAGAGGCACTGGCCCCAAAGTCCAGCAGGGGAGGCCGGACCCACACAGGAGCAGACCACGACTGCCTCTGTCAGAAGAGCCTGCAGCCGCAATGTGTCTGTCTCCGTTCAGTGGCTGGAACATCCTCCAGGGCGTCTGTGCTCCCCAACTACTACCTCCTTCCTCTTCTTTTTTTTTTTTTTACCTTTATTTATGTATGTATTTATTTATTTTTCAAGATAGGGTCTCACTGTGCTACCCAGGCTGGAGTGCAGTGGTGTGATCATAGCTCACTGCAGCCTCCAACTCTTGGGCTCAAGTGATCCTCCTGCCTCAGCCTCCCAAGTAGCTGGGACTATAGGTGTGTCCCACCACACCCAGCTGATTTTTTAATTTTTTTTTTTTTTTTTGAGATGCAGTTTTACTCTTACTGCTTAGGCTAGAGTGCAGGAGTGCAGTGGCGCAATCTCTGCTCACTGCAACCTCTGCCTCCCGGGTTCAAGCAATTCTCCTGCCTCAGCCTCCCGAGTAGCTGGGATTACAGGTGCCTGCCACCATGCCCAGCTAATTTTTTATATTTTTAGTAGAGACAGGGTTTCACCATGTTGGCCAGGCTGGTCTCAAACTCCTGACCTCAGGTGAACCACCCACCTCAGCCTCCCAAAGTGTTAGGATTACAGGTGTAACCACTGCGCCCGGCCTGATTTTCATTATTATTATTTTTTTCATGGAGATGAGAGTCCTGCTGTGCTGCCCAGGCTGGTCTCAAACTCCTGGATTCAAGTGATCTTCCTGCCTCAGCCTCCCAAAGTGCTGAGGTTACCAGTGTGAGCCACTGTGCCCGGCCTTCAACCCTCACCTTACAGAAGAACTTGCTCTTATTTTGCCTCTTCCCCCATCTGTGCCCTGCCACTTCCTGCCACCCACCATGCCTCATGCCCAGCAGCGCTGCCCACAGACCCTTCCCCCAGACCGCGGCAGCATCTCCAGGGCCTACCTGTTGAGTTGCCACAGGGTTGGGCCAAGATGTAAGAGCACTTGCCCATGAAGCCAAAGTGCCTCCCATCAAAGGTGACGTAGTGAGGATCTCCGTAGACCAAGCAGGTGGCAGTGCCTGCTGGGAGGGGGAAAGAACAGGGGAAGCTGCTTCTGTGGTCCCTCCAGGCTGGACCCCACACGCCGGCCCACCCACTGCCTGGTGGCAGGCCCCCGTTCCTCTGCTCAATCGAGGGATTGGGATCCTGGCATCATGTCCACTCCAACAGGCTGGCAGGCGGGGACAGCATGGGGAGGGGCTCTCACCATAGGGGTGGCATCCGTACTGGCCATTCTTAAGCTGACACACAGTGTGTGTCCCGCACTGAGAGATTTGGCACTCGACCCGACTCCCTGGCCAACAGCGGCAACGTTCTGTGCAGTTGGGGCTGAACCACTCTGCCCCAGGCTGGGAGAAAGGGATATGAGGTCACATGGTCATATAGCTCCTAGAGTCCTTCTTCCTTTTCTTTTCTTTTTCTTTTTTATATTTATTGATTTATTTGGGATGGAGTCTCACTCTGTTGCCCAAGCTGGAGTGCAGTGGTGTGATCTCGGCTCACTACAACCTCCACCTCCCGGGCTCAAGCAATTCTCCTGCTTCAGTCTCCTGAGTAGCTGGGACTACAGATGCCCACTACTATGCCCAGCAAATTTTTTGTATTTTTAGTAGAGGTGGGGCTTCTCCATGTTGGCCAGGCTGGTCTCGAACTCCTGACCTCAGGAGATCTGCCTGCCTCGGCTTCCCAAAGTGCTCGGATTACAGGCACGAGCCACTGAGCCTGGCCTTTCCTTCCCTCTTTCGTTTCTTCCTTCCTTCCTTCCTTTCTTTCTTTTCCTTTTTCCTTCCTTTCTTTGTCTTTGTTCCTTCCTTCCCTCCTTTTTTCTTTCTTTCTCTTTTTTTTTTTGGATGGAGTCTGATCTCAGCTCGTTGCAATCTCTGCCTCCCAGGTTCAAGTGATTCTCATGCCTCAGCCTCCTGAGTAACTGGGAATACAGGCACCCACCACCATGTCCACCTAATTTTTGTATTTTTAGTGGAGATGGGGTTTCACCATGTTGACCAGGCTGGCCTTGAACTCCTGACCTCAGGTGATCACCTGCTTCAGCCTCCCAAAGTGCTGGGATTACAGGCGTGAGCCTCCATGACCAGCTATTCTTCCTTTCCCTCCGCCGTGCCCAGGAGAGAGGCTGCTCTCCCATGCAGACCTGACCTTCCTGATGTGATTCCTCTCCCCACCACCTACTTGATACTTGATATTCCCACCACCACAGTGCATTTGCACATGCTTTTCTCTCCTCCTAGAACGCTCTTCTCTCCTCCCACTTGTTTTTGTTTTTTAAGAGACAGGGTCTCACTCTGTTGCCCAGACTGGAGTGCAGTGGCTCAATCATGGCTCACTGCAGCCTTGACCCCCTGGGCTCAAACCATCCTCCTGCCTCAACCTCCCAAGTATCTGGGACTACAGGCACATGCCACCATGCCTGACCTTTTTTTTTTTTTTTTTTTTTAACATTTTGGAGAGATGGAGTCTTGCTATGTTGCCTAGGCTGGTGTTGAACTCCTGAGCTCAAGTGACCCTCCTGCCTTGGCCTCCCAAAGTGCTGGGATTATAGGTGTGAGCCACCGCACCCAGCCTTATGTCTGTCATTTTTTTTTTTTTTTTGAGATGGAGTCTCGCTCTGTTGCCTAGGCTGGAGTGAAGTGGCATGATCTTGGCTCACTGCAAGCTCCACCCCTGGGTTTAAGCGATTCTTGTGCCTCAGCCTCCCGAGTAGCTGGAATTAAAGGTGTGCAACACCACGCCTGGCTAATTTTTGTATTTTTAGTACAGACTTGGTTTCTCCATGTTGGCCAGGCTGGTCTCGACCTCCTGACCTCAGGTGATCCGCCCACCTTCGCGTCCCAAAGTGCTGGGATTACAGGCATGAGCCACCACACCCAGCCAATGTCTGTCTTTACCCAACATCTTAGTCCTCCCATGAATGCTCTCATTCAATAAATACTTGCTGAATGAAGGAGTACACCAAGACCCCATGTGTGTCTCTGAATCTGAGAGCATCATGAGGGCAAGGACCACGACCTATCCATAGCAACCCCAGGGCCAGGAGAGTAGAAAGTATTACATAGGCTGGGTGTGGCGATTCACCACTGTAATCCCAGCACTTCAGGAGGCTGAGATGGGAGGATGGGTTGAGCCCAGGAGTTCATAGACTAGCCTGGGCAACAGAGCCAGACCCCATCTCTACCAAAAACAAAAAACAAAAAAAAAACACCTTTGAAGAAAGTACTAAATACACATTTGTTGAATGCATAAAGGAACCTAATAGAAGTGAATACAGCCGGGCACGGAGGCTCACACCTGTAATCCCAGCACTTTGGGAAGCCGAGGTGGGTGGATCGCCTGAGGTCGGGAGTTCGAGACCAGCCTGACTAACATGGAGAAACCCTGTCTCTACCAAAAATACAAAATTAGCTGGGCGTGATGGCTCGTGCCTGTAATCCCAGCTACTTGGGAGGCTGAGGCAGGAGAACTGCTTGAACCCGGGAAGAGGAGGTTGTGGTGAGTGGAGATGGCACCATTGCACTCCAGCCTGGGCAACAAGAGCCAAACTCTGTCTCAAAATCAAACAACCAAAAATGGCTAGAATGGTTTTTGCATCAATAGAGGGCTGTGAGTGAATAGTTTGCCCCCCCAAAAAAAAAGAAAAAAGAAAAAAAAGAAGTGAATACATGCCTCCTACGGCAGAGGGAAGAGCCTCTTGGTGCCAGTGGTTGTAACAGATCTTTCTGCCCAGGCTGTGGCTGAAGCTAATCTCAGCAGCAACTCAGAGAGACCCAGGAGACTGGTTAAAGCAAGGGAAGGAAATAATAGTCCCGAAAGGGACAAGCAGAAGCTGTAATGTCAATGGGAAGAACACCTGGAGCTGAGAAGAGGCTCTGGACATTAATGAATTACTTAATGCACATTTTTTTTTTTTTTTTTTTTTTTGTCACCCAGGCTGGAGTGCAGTGGTGCAATCATAGCCCACTGCGGCCTCAAACTGCTGGGCTCAAGCAATCCCTCCACATCGGCCTCCTAAAGTGTTGGGATTACAGGTGTGAGTCACCGTGCTGGGCCCTTTAATGCACTTTTAATTAATAGTTTGGATATATTTATCATAAATTGCTAACGATAATAATTAACACTTATTAAGTAATTGTATGTGTTAGGACTTAATTTCGTCTTTACAACAATGTTATATGAGGTAGAAAATCTTATTGTGTACACCTTATAAATACGGATAAAAGATTTAAAGAGGTAAAGAATGTATGGTGAAACCCCATCTCTACTAAAAATAACAAAAATTAGCTGGGCGTGGTGGCGTGAGCCTGTTATCCCAGCGACTTGGGAGGCTGAGGCAGAGAATTGCTTGAACCCGGGAGGTGGAGGTTGCAGTGAGCTGAGATCGTGCCACTGCACTCCAGCCTGGGTGACAGAGCGAGACTTTGTCTCAAAAAAGAAAAAACTAAATGTGCCCAGCCAGACACAGTGGTTTATGCCTATAATCCCAGCACTTTGGGAGGCTGAGGCAGGAGGATTGCTTGAACTCGGGATTTCAAGACCAGCCTGGGCAATGTAGTGAAACCCTGTCTCTACCAAAAATACAAAAATTAGCTGGGCACGGTGGCATGTGCCTGTAGTCCCAGCTACTCGGGAGGCTGAGGTGGGAGGATCACTGGGGCCCGGGAAGTGGAGGCTGCAGTGAGCCACTATCACGCCACTGTCTGTACTCCAGCCTGAGCGACAGAGCGAGACCCTGTCTCAAAATAAAAGACAAGACTGAATGAATAACTTTGGCTGTTGTGTAACCATTGCTTCTGAGCTGACCCCTTGGGACTACCCAGTGATCCCCATTCCTTCACCTGGGGAGCAGATGGAGCTGGAACCCAGGTGTTCTGCTATCAATCTCCATCATGGGACCACAGCATCCCGAGGGGCTTACCTCATAGTAGTTGTTGTTGTAGAAGCAATTGCAGGAAGAGGCTTGGATGCAGTGGTTGTCACTAAACAAAAAGCCAAGGTTGCAGACACAGCCCCCCCGACAGAGCGGCCCACAGCTAGGCCTGGGACTCTTGCACGAAGCCGGACAAGCACAGGATTCGTAGTGTGCATTTGGGGGGCAGCGCTCTAAGGAGAAAACAGCCTCTGTCATGCTTTCATTCCACAGCTTTCTCAGGGAGTCTCCCTCTCTCTCCTCTACCCCCAAACTCAAGTTCTTCTCTAGGAAACAGGACCGTATTATTCAGCCATAAAAAGGCCTGAAGGCTGGGTGTGGTGGCTCACACCTATAATCCCAGCACTTTGGGAGGCTGAGGTGGGAGGATTGTTTGAGGCCAGGAGTTTGAGACCAGCCTGTGCAACGTAGTGAGACCCCATCCCTACAAAACAAATTTAAAAATAAAACAATTTTAGGCTGGGCGCGGTGGCTCACACCTGTAATCTTGGCACTTTGGGAAGCCAAGGCAGGCGAATCACTTGAGGCCAGGAGTTCAAGAACAGCCTGGCCAACAGGGTGAAACCCTAGAGCCGGACACAGTGGCTCACCCCTATAATCCCAAGACTTTGGGAGGCCGAGACTGAAGTGTAATTACAGGATTACACCCCTGTAATCCCAGGACTTTGGGAGGTCAATACCAGCCTGGCCACCATGGTGAAACCCCATTTCTACTAAAAACACAAAAATTAGCCGGTCCTGGTGGTGCAGGCCTGTGGCCCCAGCTACTCAGGAGACTGAGGCAGGATAGTTGCTTGAGCCCTGGAGGCGGAGGTTGCAGTGAGCCGAGATCACACCACTGCACTCCAGCCTGCGTGACAGAGCGAGACCCTGTCTCAAAAATATAAACAATAAGCGGCCGGGCGCGGTGGCTCAAGCCTGTAATCCCAGCACTTTGGAAGGCCAAGACGGGCAGATCACGAGGTCAGGAGATGAAGACCATCCTGGCTAACCCGGTGAAACCCCGTCTCTACTAAAAAATACAAAAAATTAGCTGGGCGAGGTGGCGGGCACCTGTAGTCCCAGCTACTCGGGAGGCTGAGGCAGGAGAATGGTGTGAACTCGGGAGGCGGAGCTTGCAGTGAGCTGAGATCCGGCCACTGTACTCCAGCCTGAGCGACAGAGCGAGACCCTGTCTCAAAAAAAAAAAAGAAAAGACTAAATGAATAACTTCGCTGTCGTGTAACCATTGCTTCTGAGCTGACCCCTTGGGACTATCCGGTGATCCCCGTTCCTTCACCTGGGGAGCAGTTGGAGCTGGAACCCAGGTGTTCTGCCATCAATCTCTGTCATGGGACCACAGCATATATATATATAAACAATAAGAAATACTTTTTTTAAAGGCATGAAGTCCTGATGCATGCTACAGTATGGATGGCCCGGAAAACATTACACTCAGTGAAAGAAGCTAAACACAAAGGCTCACATATTGCATGATTCCATTTGTATGAACTGTCCAGAACTGGCAAATCCATGGATAAACGAAAGAAATTTGTGGTTGCCAGGGGCTGGGGGAAGGTGGAGCGAGGACTGCTAATAGGTACAGGGTTTCTTTTTGGAGTGATGAAAATGTCTGGATTAGAAAGTGATAATGGTTGCACAACCTTGGGAATATACTAAAAACCATAGAATTGCCTTTTTTTTTTTTTAAAGATAGGGTCTCGCTCTGTTGCCCAGGCTAAAGTACAGTGACCCAGTCATGGCTCGCTACAGCCTCAACCTCCCAAACTCAAGCGATCCTCCCACCTCAGCCTCCCGAGTAGCTGGGACTACAGGTGTGCACCACCACACCCAGTTAATTTTTTTTTTTTTCCCCATTTTAAAGTGGAGACAGGCTCTTGCTATGTATGTTGCCTAGGCTGGTCTCGAACTCCTGCGCTCAAGCAACTCTCCTGCCTTGGCCCCTGAAAGTGCTGGGATTATAGGTGTGAGCCACCATGCCTGGCCTAGAATTGTACACTTTAAAAGGGTGAATTTTATGAAATATGGATTATATCTCAGTAACAAACAAGGAGAAGGAAGCCTCGTGGCTGGGTCCTGACACCCCCACCCACTCCAGCCCTGCCATCCCTCTCACTCTGGGCAGTCCTCCCCATTTCCTCTGAAGTCACCATGGACTGCTTCAGCTCTGCCCTGAGAGTACTAGAAGCATCTAGAAACAACTAGAAGCTTTCTACCAGAAGCATCCCTTTCCCTGATTCTCTCCTAGTCACTCTCTCTCACATTCAGCCTTGGCCCACGCTCCATCCACCTCATACCTGTATTGGGTCTGGGGGTTCTGGTAGTGCTCAGGATCACACTGGTCATAGCGGCACTTGGAGCATGTGGAGACATCACCAAGGCTGCCAGCCCAGTGGCTGTGGGACTGGGATGGGGTGGCCTCAGGGCTGTGAGCTTCTCTGTGGGGATGGTGGGTTTTTCCGTGGGGATGGTGGGTTTTTCTGTGGAGATGGTGGGTTTTTCCATGGGGTGGGACTGGGATGGGTAAGCCCCCAGGCTGTGAGCTTCTGTGGGATGGTGGGTTTTCCGTGGGGATGGTGGGTTTTTCTGTGGAGATGGTGGGTTTTTCCATGGGGATGGTGGGTTTTTCTGTGGAGATGGTGGGTTTTTCTGTGGGGATGGTGGGTTTTTCTGTGGAGATGGTGGGTTTTTCCCATGGATGGTGGGTTTTTCTGTGGAGATGGTGGGTTTTTCTGTGAGGATGATAGGTTTTTCTGTGGAGATGGTGGGTTTTTCTGTGGAGATGGTGGGTTTTTCTGTGGAGATGGTGGGTTTTTCTGTGGAGATGGTGGGTTTTTCTGTGGAGATGGTGGGTTTTTCAGAGGATGATAGTAGGTTTTCCTCGTGAGATGGTGGGTTTTTCTGTGGAGATGCAGGGTTTTTCTGTGGAGATGGTGGGTTTTTCTGTGGAGATGGTGGGTTTTTCCGTGGAGATGGTGGGTTTTTCTGTGGAGAGGTGGGCTTCCATGGATGGTGGTGGGTTTTTCTGTGGAGATGGTGGGTTTTTCCATGGGGATGGTGGGTTTTTCTGTGGAGATGGTGGGTTTTTCTGTGAGGATGATAGGTTTTTCTGTGGAGATGGTGGGTTTTTCTGTGGAGATGGTGGGTTTTTCCATGGGGATGGTGGGTTTTTCTGTGGAGATGGTGGGTTTTCCTGTGGGATGGTGGGTTTTTCTGTGGAGATGGTGGGTTTTTCCATGGGGATGGTGGGTTTTTCTGTGGGGATGGTGGGTTTTTCTGTGGAGATGGTAGTCTCTTCAATGGAGGTGGTGGTTTCTTCAGTGGGGACAGTGGGTTTTTCCGTGGGGATGGTGGGTTTTTCCGTGGGGATAGTGGGTTTTTCCAGGAGATAGTGGGTTTTTCTGTGGGGATGGTGGGTTTTTCTACAGAGATGGTAGCCCTTCCAATGGAGATGGTGGGTTTTTCCGTGGAGATGGTGGGTTTTTCTGTGGAGATGGTGGGTTTTTCTGTGGAGATGGTGGGTTTTCCTGTGGAGATGGTGGGTTTTCTGTGGAGATGGTGGGTTTTTCTGTGGGAGGTGGTAGCCCTTCAATGGAGATGGTGGGTTTTTCCGTGAGATGGTGGGTTTTTCCGTGGGGATAGTGGTTTTTCCATGGGGATGGTGGGTTTTTCTGTGGAGATGGTGGGTTTTTCTGTGAGGATGATAGGTTTTTCTGTGGAGATGGTGGGTTTTTCTGTGGAGATGGTGGGTTTTTCTGTGGAGATGGTGGGTTTTTCTGTGGGGATGGTGGGTTTTTCCGTGGGGATGGTGGGTTTTTCCGTGGGGATAGTGGGTTTTTCCGTGGAGATAGTGGGTTTTTCTGTGGGGATGGTGGGTTTTTCTACGGAGATGGTAGTCTCTTCAATGGAGGTGGTGGTTTCTTCAGTGGGGATAGTGGGTTTTTCCATGGGGACAGTGGGTTTTTCTGTGGGGATGGCAGGCTCTTCTGTGGAGATAGTGGTCTCCTCAGTGGTGGTAGTGGGCTCTTCTGTGGGGACAGTGGGCTTTTCTGTGGAAATAGTGGGTTTTTCTGTGGGAATAGTGGGCTCTTCAGTGGGGATGGTGGGTTTTTCTGTGGGGAAAGAGGGCTCTTCGGTAGGGATGGTGGGTTTTTCTGCGGGAATGGTGGGCTTTTCTTTGGGGACTGTGGGCTTTTCTGTGGTGACGGTGGGTTTTTCTATGGAAACTGTAGGGTTTTCTGTGAGGCTGGTGGTTTCAGAAGGGCCAGTGGAAGAAACTGGAGATATGGGAGGAAGCTCTGGTAGCACTTTTACTGAAAAGAAAAAAAATAAGAATCCCTGGAGTTTAGTCAAAATTATACCACCACCCTCTTCACTGCCATCTAATTGGAGTGGGCTCCAGTGGGCGACTTATTTACACTTTTCTTTCTACTCCCAACCCCCAGCCTTCATTCACTCAACAAACAGTAATATATGTCAGATATTGTGCCGGGTACGAGAAAAGCAAAAATGAATAGGATATGGGTCTGGCCTTCAAGATTGCAGGGGAAGGAAGGAGTTCTGGATCCAGCCCCCAAAATCCATGGTATCTAAGCCACATTCACCCAGGCAAACATCTTGAAGTGCAGGGGAAGGAGAGGCGGGTAGAAGATGGAAAATAAAGCCAGCTGGGTGAGAATTCAGGCTCCAGGGAGGACCCGTATTTTTTTTTTTTTTTTTTTTTTTTTTTGAGACGGAGTCTCGCTCTGTCGCCCAGGCTGGAGTGCAGTGGCCGGGTCTCAGCTCACTGCAAGCTCCGCCTCCCGGGTTCACGCCATTCTCCTGCCTCAGCCTCCCGAGTAGCTGGGACTACAGGTGCCCGCCCCCTTGCCTGGCTAGTTTTTTGTATTTTTCAGTAGAGACGGGGTTTCACCGTGTTAGCCAGGATAGTCTCAATCTCCTGACCTCGTGATCTGCCCGTCTCGGCCTCCCAAAGTGCTGGGATTACAGGTTTGAGCCACCGCGCCCAGCCAGGACCTGCATTTTAAGCAGTTCATAGAGAGAACCCTGGGGAATGGTGATCTCAGGGCACTGCCCCCTTCCTGGAGCCTGGGCTTTGGTCTTACCTGGACAAGTCCCAGGATTGATCAAGATGAAACCCATAGCAACCACAAAGGCCATGTTGCTGCCCCGGATGGCCTTGAAAATCAGCTGAAGGCGACAAGGGAGAAAGACGGAGAGAGAAACAAAAATGAATCTCCAGCAACTCTGTGATTCCACTGGGCATAGAGTCTGTCCTCTGCCAAAATGTCACCTTGTTCCAGCCTCAACGGTCCAGCCCTGTCCCGGCCCCTTTCTCGCTTTCCGTAACACGAAGTTCCCCTTTTCTTGGCTCTTTTTCCAGTTTTCTACCTCTTCAGCACTGGTGGCGCCTCCAGATCCCAGGCATTGACCCTCTCACCCCACACAGACAGGACCCCAGCCTCTGTCTCTCACCTGCATGGGCTGTTGGTGTCCTGAGGGGATGGTGACGGAGGTGTTCTGCCAGTAAGGGCGCTGAGACCCCACGCGTTTCCAGAGAGGAATCGGAGGGCTCCCCGCAGGACTTCCCAGGAGGAGTTCGAGCATAGTACCCTCCCCAAGGCCATACATGTGGTACGCGAACTCCACGCAGATGTCACCCGGGGCGCAGAAGGGCCGGCTCACCAGTCTGGCCGACTGCCCTACCTGGGAGAACTTGTCAGCCTCAAGGTAGATATAGTGACCCCCTGGGCAAAGGAAGGGAACAGGCAAGATAAGAAGCCTGCACAGGACACACCAACTGCTGCTTTAGCGAAGCTTCGCTTTCTGAACAGGGATCTGAGCAAACACTCAAATTCCCCAGGTCATAGCATTATTTTTTCTGCTCATTTTAGACATCTAACTAACATTTTCTGCTCATTTTAGACGTCACAAAGAAAGGGAAAAGTGGCCATTCACAGTGGCTCACGCCTGTAGTCCCAGCACTTTGGGAGGCCGAGGCCGGCCAATCACGAGGTCAAGAGATCAAGACCATCCTGGCCAACATGGTAAAATCCGTCTCTACTAAAAATACAAAAATTAGCCAGGTGTGGTGGTGCGTGCCTGTAATCCCAGCTACTCGGGAGGCTGAGGCAGGAGAATCACTTGAACCCGGGAGGTGGAGGTTGCAATGAGCCGAGATCACACCTGCACTCCAGCCTGGTGACAGAGTAAGACTCCATCTCAAAAAAAAAAAAAGGCAAACCAGCAACCTAGATTACATTCATTAATGTCGCGCGCGTGCGCGCGTGTGTGTGTATTACCCAGGCTGGAGTGCAGGGATACGATCTCAGCTCACTACAACCTCCACCTCCCAGGTTCAAGCGATCCTCCTGCCTCAGCCTCCCAAGTAGCTGGCATTACAAGTGTGCGCCACCATGTCTGGCTAATTTTTGTGTTTTTGGTAGAGGTGGGGTTTCATCATGTTGGCCAGGCTAGTCTCAAACTCCTGGCCTCAAGTGATCCACCCGCCTCAACCTCCCAAAGCACTAGGATTACATGTGTGAGCCACTGCACCCTGCCCTCATTATTGTCTTTTTAAAAAATTATTTCTTTTTAATATTTTTGTAAGACAGAATCTCACTCTGTTGCCCTGATTGGAGTGCAGTGGTGTGATCTCAGCTCACTGCAGTCTCTGCCTCCTGGGGTCAGGCGGTTCTTCCACCTCAGCCTCCTGAGTAGCTGGGACTACAGGTGCATACCACCACTCCTGGCTAATTTTTATATATTTTTAGTAGAGTCAGGGTTTCACCATGTTGCCCAGTCTGGTCTCGAACTCCTGACCTCAAGTGATCAACCTGCCTTGGCTTCCCAAAGTGCTAGAATTAAAGGTGTGAGCTACCACACCTGGCCTATTTTTTTATTTTTATTTTTTAGAGACAAGGTCTCTCTCTGTTGCCCAGGCTGGAGCGCACTGGTTCAATCACAGCTCACTGCAGCCTCGACTTCTGAGCTCAAGCGATCCTCCCATGTCACCCTCGCAAGTAGGTGGGACTACAAGCACACGCCACCACATCTGGCTAATTTAAAATATATATATATATATATATATTTTTTTTTTCTAAGGATGGGATTCTCACTATGTTGCCCAGGCTGAGCTCAAACTCCTGGGCCCAAGCAACCCTCCCGCCTCAGCCTCCCAAAGTGCTGGAATTGCAGGCATGAGCCACTCATAAGTGTCTAGACTGAAAATGAGGTGGTGGGTTTTGAAGCCTTGGGCTCCATGAAGTGAGATTGCCCGGGTTTTCTTAGGATTTCAGTGATCCCCCCGCCCTGAGAATCTTTAAGTTACTCTGCTATCTCCACAGTTCCGGTACCATGGCAACTTCCGAATAAACACCTGCGGACTGATCTTCCCCCTGCCCGAAACAGCTTCTCCCAGCAGTCACAGCAGCCAGCCCACTACCTGGGAGCAGACTGAGTGATTCCTTGGCGCAAGCGCTCTTCAATCTCCTCACCTGCATTAGGGGAACCTCCCACGGGGCCCATGCCGTGGACGGGTCCATTTTTATGTCCGAGGGCCCAGTGTCCACCATCCCCGGAAGTCTGGACCCAATCACAGAAGGGATGGGCATTGTCTTCAAAGTCACACTGAGGAAAGCCCTCTGGGGGATCAAAATAGGATATTTAAGCAAGTTGAGTGATGCTCTCCAGCCCTCTCCCAGCCCACCCCGGATTCTGAGAGATCCGGGCCTCCCAGGGCCTGTTCTCACCCCCACAAGGAGCAATACTGGTTGCATCGACTGCCACAGCTGGCTCTGGGGTCTTTCCAAAAACGCCCACCACGGTGAACTGGAGAAAAAGGGAGATGGGCTGGGAGTGAGCACACAGCCCATACCCCTAAGCCCCTGATCTGACTCGGCTCCATTCCACGACCCAGAATCCCTACTCCCTGTTCCAGACCCTCAATTCATTTCTTTTTTTTTTTTTTTTTTTTTTTTGAGACGGAGTCTGGCTCTGTTGCCCAGGCTGGAGTGCAGTGGCCGGATCTCAGCTCACTGCAAGCTCCGCCTCCCAGGTTTAAGCCATTCTCCTGCCTCAGCCTCCCGAGTAGCTGGGACTACAGGCGCCCGCCACCTCGCCCGGATAGTTTTTTTGTATTTTTTAGTAGAGACGGGGTTTCACCGTGTTAGCCAGGATGGTCTCGATCTCCTGACCTCGTGATCCACCATTCTCGGCCTCCCAAAGTGCTGGGATTACAGGATTGAGCCACCGCACCCAGCCTCATTTTTTTTTTTTCCCAGACAGGGTCTTGCTCTGTTTTCCAGGCTGGAGCACAGTGGTGCGATCATAGCTCACTGCAACCTTGACCTCCGGGGCTCAAATGATCCTCCCACCTCAGCCTCCCGAGTAGCTAGGACTACAGGCACACATCACTATGCCCGCCTAATTTTTGTATTTTTTTGTAGAGATGGGGTCTTGCTATGTTGCCCAGGCTGGTCTTGAACTCCTGTCCTGAAGCAATCCTCCCTCCTCAGCCTCCCAAAGTATTTGGAATACAGGCATGAGCCACAGCACCATGCCCCTCAATTTATTTCAACATTGGGTGTGCCTACCGTGTGCAAGGACCTGACCCCTTGCTTCTCTGTACCTGTATCCGTCCCACGGCTGTGTAATTGACAGAAACAGCCTGCCAGGTGGGCCCAGGTTGTCCTGAGAAGAGAGTGTGTTTCCGGATGCTCCCTGCAGTGAAAGGAATCGGAGGGAGAAGTGAGCTTAAGGGGACTGGGAAATGACTTTGAACTATACCCAGGAGGATGAGGAGCAGAGGGTATAGTTGGGGACTATTACTGCCAAATGAAAGCACAACCTTCTTTTTTATTTTATTTACTTATCTTTTTTTTTTTTTTTTTTTTTTTTTGAGACGGAGTCTCGCTCTATCGCCCAGGCTGGAGTGCTGTGGCCGGATCTCAGCTCGTTGCAAGCTCTGCCTCCCAGGTTTAAGCCATTCTCCTGCCTCAGCCTCCTGAGTAGCTGGGACTACAGGCACCCGCCACCTCGCCTGGCTAGTTTTTTGTAGTTTTTAGTAGAGACGGGGTTTCACCGTGTTAGCCAGGATGGCCTTGATCTCCTGACCTCGTGATCCACCCGTCTCGGCCTCCCAAAGTGCTGGGATTACGGCTTGAGCCACCGCGCCTGACCATCATTATTATTTTTTGAGATGGAGTCTTGCTATGTTGCCCAGGCCAGAGTGCAGTGGCACTATCCTGGCTCACTGCAACTTCTGTCTCCTAGGTTCAAGCGATTCTCCTACCTCAGTGTCTTGAGTAGCTGAGATTACAGGCATGTGCCACAACACCTGGTTAATTTTTGTATTTTTAGTAGAGACAAGGTTTCTCTATGTTGGCCAGGCTGGTCTCAAACTCCTGACCTCAGGTGATCCACCAGCCTCAGCCTCCCAAAGTGCAGGACTACAGGTGTAAGTCACCGTGCCAGGCCAGCACAACCTTCTTTTTTATTTGAGATGGAGTCTTGCTCTGTCGCCAGGCTGGAGTGCAGTGGCATGATCTCGGCTCGCTGCAACCTCCGCCTCCCGGGTTCAAGCGATTCTCCTGCCTCAGCCTCCTGTGTAGCTGGGACTACAGGCGGCTAATTTTTGTATTTTTAGTAGAGACAGGGTTTCACCATGTTGGCCAGGATGGTCTCCATCTCCTGACCTCGTGATCTGCCCGCCTCGGCCTCCCAAAGAGCCCTCTCAGCCATGATTTCCACTTCATGGAATAATCTCACACATATTCCAGACCTCCCTAGACCCTGAGGGATGCCCCATCAAGCCAACCCTGGGAGATGCGCCCAGTCAGTGTAAATCCTGTGAATTCTCCGCTCTAACCCAAGACGGAAGCATAAACATGGAGGGCTGCACCAGGAGACTGGCCCCGGAGGACGTAGTGGAAGGAAAAGCTCAGACAGCCGGAGGACGGGCTCACGGGACTCAGGAGGATGGCTTTCTGCCCGGGTCTTGCATTCTTGGGGTCCAGGAGCATGTAGTGGCCACCTGTGAAGCAAAAGGCCAGGGAATTGAGGTGGATGGAATTGAGGGAAGATGGCAGCAGAGATAGGGCCCTGAGGAGGCTGGGGACTTGTCCCTGGGGAGCCCCAACAGCAGCCTGGAATCAGGCAGTGCCGAGGTGGTCCTATGCCAACTGACTGAGGTCTTCAACTTTCCCAGAAATACTTGGGCTGGGTAAGGACCCGGCGCTGCCATGGGAAACGCCAGACACCTTCTCCAAAGCAGCAACTAGAACTTTGTCCTTTGGGTGTTAACTCTTTTTTTTTCTTGTTGTTATTTTGTTTTTGTTTTTGAGACAGTCTCACTCTGTCGCCCAGGCTGGAGTGCAGTGGCGCAATCATGGCTCTCATGGTTCACTGCAGACTCAACCTGCCCGGGCTCAGGTAATCCTCCCGCCTCAGCCTCCTTAAGTAGCTGGGACTACAGGTGTGCGCCACCAAGCCCTGCTAATTTTTCAATTTTTTTTTTGAAAAGATGGGGTTTCACCACATTGCCCAGGCTGGTCTTGAACTCCTAGGCTCAGATGATCCACCCACCTTGGCTTCCCAAGGGATTACAGTCACGAGCCCCCATGTCTGGCCTGGGTGCTAACTCTTAAGGTCCACTAGAGTCACAGCCTGTTCCTTTTTTTTCTTTTTTCTTTTCTGAGACAGGGTATGGCTCTGTTGCCCAGGCTAAAGTGCAGTGGCATAGGTCTCAAACTCCTGGGCTCAAGCAATCCTCTCGCCACAGCCTCCCGAGTAGCTGGAACTCCAGGTGCACACCACTATGCCCAGCTAATTTTTCTTTTTAAGAGATGGGGTCTCACTGTGTTGCCCAGGCGGGTCTTGGTCTCCTGGCCTCAAGCAATCCTCCCACCTTGGCCTCCCAAAGTGCTGGGATTACAGGCTTGAGCTACTACACCTGGTTGCCTCTTCCTTTTCTTTACCCGCTGGACATAACCTATTCATACAAACTGGTGAGAGTCACAGCGGCTCTGACACAGACCAGCAAAGGCAAACCCCCTGTCACCCACCACCACCTCGGCCCCCAACTCAGACAGCCAATCAGCGTGGACCTCGCTAGGTGACGCAACTGGTAGCGAAGAGGAAAATGTAAGCGGCTGCCAACTCATGGGGAGCGCGCTCGCGTGCGTGCTCGCGCCCGAGTCCCAGGGAGTCATGCCTGGCGCGCGCTCGGTCCTGCCTGGTGCGCGCTCACTCCCGCGGAAGGTGGGATCCTGAGCGGCGGCGAAGAGGCTGGAATGGCGGGAATGGGCAGGAGGAAGGAGAAGAAAGGAAACAACCGGGAAGGAAGAGGGAAGGGAAAGGAAAGGACGTGGGAAAATGGTGAAAGAGAAATCGAGACGGGCTGGCCCAGTGGCTCACGCCTGTAATCCCAGCACTTTGGGAGGCCGAGGCGGGCGGATCACCTGAGGTGCGGCGTTCAAGACCAGCCCGGCCAACATGGCGAAACCCCGTCTCTACTAAAAATACAAAAATTAGCCGGGCGTAGTGGCGAGCACCTGTAATCCTAGCTACTCGGGAGGCTGAGGCAGGAGAATCGCTTGAACCCGGGAGGCGGAGGTTGCAGTGAGCTGAGATCGCGCCACCGCACTCCAGCCTGGGCAACAGAACGAGACTCTGTCTCTAAAAAAAAAAAAGAAAGAAAGAAAATAAAATCAAGGAGACCTATGAGAAACAGAAGAGGAGAAATGGGAGGGAAAAAAAAGTGAAAGGCGAAGAAAATGTAAGGACGCGAGCAAGATGGAGATGGAAAGGGAGAAAAAGGAAAAATAAAAAGCCAAAAGGCCAGCCAGCATTTACTGAAGCTCCTGGGCACAGTCCACAGTACATAATTTTAAAATGCTGAGGGGTGGCAGAGAGGGCTGGCCGGCTTCCAGCGAAGGTGGGGCCAGGGCTTCTTAAGGCCTTATTTATTTATTTACTTACTTACTTATTTATTTTTATTGAGACAGAGTCTCACTCTGTTGTCCAGGCTAGAGTGCAGTGGCGCTATCTCCGCCTCCCAGGTTCAAGCAATTCTCTTGCTTCAGCCTCCCTAGTAGCTGGGATTACAGGCACACACCACCACGCCCAGCTAATTTTTTGTATTTGTAGTAGAGACAGGGTTTTGCTATGTTGGCCAGGCTGGTCTCCAACTCCTGACCTCAGGTGATCTGCCTGCCTCCGCCTCCCAAAGTGCTGGGATTACAGGCATGAGCCACCACGCCTGGCCAGGGCCCTTCTAGAAGACAGTTTAGGCAGCAGGAAAGATCAGAGACAGGAGGGCAGGAGTCGGAGTGGACACTAATGGAGTGGAGAGAGGAAAAGATGGGGAAGAAACAGAAAAGGAAATATGGCAGAGGCAAGAGGATCACTTGAGGCCAGGAGTCCGAGACCAGCCTGGGCAACATACCAAGACCCCATCTTTACAGATAAAGAAAATAAAAGAAAATGTGGAAATGGTAAGGTGGAAGGGAGGAAACAGATTGAGGAAGGAGAAATATTAAGGGAAAAAGAAGAACAAAGAGATAAAGGCCAGATGCGACAGCTCACACCTGTACTTCAAGCACTTTCAGAGACCGAGGCAGGAGGATGGCTTGAGGCCCAGAGTTTGAGACCAGCCTGGGCAATGTAGCAAGACCCCATCCCTATTTTTTTTATTTATTTATTTTGAGACACAATCTCACTCTGTCACTCAGGCTGGAGTGCAGTGGTGCAATCACAGCTCACTGCAACCTCCACTTCCCAGGCTCAGGCGATCCTCCCACGTCAGCCTCCCGAGTATCTGGGACTACAGGTGTGCGCCACCACGCTGGGCTAATTTTTGTATTTTTTGTAGAGACAAGATCTCACTATATGTCCCAGGCTGGTCTTGAACTCCTGGCCTCAAGTGATCTGCCCACCTCGGCCTCCCAAAATTCTGGGATTACAGGCCATGAGCTACTGCACCTGGCTTAGTTTTTAAAAACATTTTTTTAAATTCAAAATTAAGAAGTGTAAACTCAGAAAGGAAATTAGGGAGCAGAACCCTCTGTGCTTGACCTCTTGAGTGAGGGGTTGAAATGTGGGCTGTGTGGAGAAGATTGAGAGAGAAAGTGAATGTTGTGTGAGAGAGAAAAGGAAGAAGTCAACAGTAGAAAGAGAAAGAAGCTCAGCTGCGAGCACAGGGAGGTGTTGGAAAGAAGCTAGGGATAGACTTGGGTGCACAGAAAGAAAGAATATCAGCCAGCCACAGTGACCCATGCCTGTAATCCCAGCACTTTGGGAGGCCAAGGTGGGTGGATCACGAGGTCAGAAGATTGAGACTGCCCTGACCAACATGATGAAACCCCATCTCTACTAAAAATACAAAAATTAGCCAGGCATGGTGACACATGCCTATAATCCTAGCTACTCGGGAGGCTGAGGCAGGAGAATCGCTTGAACCCAGGAGGCAGAGGTTGCAGTGAGTCGAGATCGCACCACTGCACTCCAGCCTGGCGACAGAGCAAGATTCCGTCTCGAAAGAAAGAAAGAAAGAATATCACCTGGATTTTTGCAAAAGACTCCTAAACAGCGTCTCTGCATCGACCTTGCCTGTTCTCCTCAGTGGATTCGCAACACAAAAAAAATCCTTTAAAAATAAGTCAGATCGGCCGGGCGCGGTGGCTCAAGCCTGTAATCCCAGCACTTTGGGAGGCCGAGACGGGCGGATCACGAGGTCAGGAGATCGAGACCATCCTGGCTAACACAGTGAAACCCCGTCTCTACTAAAAAATACAAAAAAAAAATAGCCGGGCGAGGTGGCAGGCGCCTGTAGTCCCAGCTACTCGGGAGGCTGAGGCAGGAGAATGGCGAAAACCCGGGAGGCGGAGCTTGCAGTGAGCCGAGATCCGGCCACTGCATTCCAGCCTGGGCGACAGAGCAAGACTCCGTCTCAAAAAAAAAAAAAAAAAAAAAAAGACTCGACTCCTAAGCAACAACTCCTACTTCGACTTTGCCTGTTCTCATCAGTGGATTAACACAAAAAAATCCTTTAAAAATAAGTCAGATCAAGGTGGCGCAGTGGCTCATGACTGTAATCCCAGCACTTTGGGAGGCCGAGACAGGTGAATCAGGGTCAGGAGATGAGACCACCCTGGCCTTCTTTGGTGAAGCCGTCTCTGCTAAAATACCAAAAAAAAAAAAAGCACTCAGCCGGAGGCGAGTCATGGGCACCTGTAGTTCCAGCTGCTCGGGAGGCTGAGCAGAGAATGGCATCAACCCGGGCGGGCTTGCAGTGAGCTGAGATCTGTGCCACCCAGCTGAGCAACGAGCCAGACTCCCATCTCAAAAAAAAAAAAAAAAAAAAAGTCAGGGACAAATAATTGCTCAAAATCCTGCAAAAGCTCCCAGGATTTGGAAGCACGTAGAACAGAAAGCCACAGTCTGGCCGTGCCCTTCAAGGCTCTATGTGATCTGCCTCTCCTGCTGGATCTCGAGTCACCCTCTTCATCAGCCCATGGCTATATTTTACATGTGTACCTTAATCCCCTCCTTCCTAAATGGCTAATGCTACCTCAGGACCTTCGCACAGCTGGCCCCCTCAGCCTGAATGTCCTCCTCTACCTCAATCATTCCCCACGAGCACCAGCATGCCTTTTCAAGTTCGTGCTCCAAATGTGTCCTGGAATGTGACCTGCCCGACCAGCCCATTTAAAATTGATAGCACACGGGCACAGTGGCTCAACGCCTCTAATCCCAGCACTTTGGGAGGCCGAGGTGGATGGATGACCTGAGGTCAGGAGTTCGAGACCAACCTGGCCAGCCGCTAGGAAACCCCATCTCTACTAAAATACAAAAGTGGGTGACATGGTGGTTGCACCTGTAATTGGTCTGCTCAGGAGGCTGAAGTAGGAGAATCAATTGAACCTGGCGGCAGAGGTTGCTGTAGGCTGAGATCAAGTCACTGTACTCCAGCCTGGGAGACAGAGCGAGACTCTGTCTCAGAAATAAATAAATAAATAATTGATAACTCACAGCCAGTGCAGTGAAAACCACGCCTGTAATCCCAGTGCTTTTGGGAGGCCGAAGTGGGCAGATCAGCGAGGTGATCCTCCGTCTCCACCTTCCCAAAGCGCTGGATGTGGCTCTGAAATG